GACACCCTGTCTCAAAAAGGTCGGGGGGAACCACCCAAAAGACTTAGTTTTACCTTCCACTTAAGTTATTGCCTTTTCATCCTCCATTCACTGTCAAATCTTTTAAAATGTTAAATCTGCGCTGTGGCTCATGCCTGTAATCCTAGCACGTTGGGAGGCCGAGGTGGGTAGATCACCTGAGGTCAGGAGTTCAAGACCAGCCTGGCCATCATGGTGAAACCCCATCTTTTTTTAAAAAAAAAAAAAAAAAAAAAAAAAAGTTAAATCTGGCTGGGTGCGGTGGCTCATCCCAGTAATCCCACAGTAATCCCAGCACTTTGGGAGGCCGAAGCAGGTAGATCACCTGAGGTCAGGAGTTTGAGACTAGCCTAGCCAACATGGTTAAATCCCATCTCTACTAAAAAAAAAAAAAAAAAAAAAAAATTAATGGGGCATGTTGGCAGGTGCCTGCAGTCCCAGCTACTTAGGAGGCTGAGGCAGGGAGAATTGCTCGAACCTGGGAGGTGGAGGTTGCAGTGAGTTGAGATCGCACCAGTGCACTCCAGCCTGGGTGATAGAGCAAGGCACTGCCTCAGAATAAATAAGGGCTTCATCCTATGTCTGATCTGTGTAATATCTGATTCTCGTGTTCCTTAAGATGTTTTCCATTCCTTTGGCTTCTGGACACCATTCTCTCATGGGTCTTTTCAACCCTCTCCAGCTGCTCCACTTCTACTTCACCAGTATGCCTTCCTTATAGTCCTTGTTATTCTACAGACTTCTTTTTGAGGGAGTTCAATGGATCTGTGACACGTCCACCCTTTCCTACCCTGTGGGGTACACTGGCTATACAGAGAAATGTTGGGCACCTGTCACCTGTATTCGTTTCCTATTGCTGCTCTAATGCACGACCTAAGTGGCTTAAAACAACACAAACTTATCATGTTACAGTTCTGAAAGATGAACATCCAAAACGGGTCTCACTAGGCTAAAATCAAGGTGTCGACAGGTCTGTGTTTCTTCTGGAGGCCCTGGGGGAGACACTGTCCTTTCCAGTTTGTCGAGGCCACCTTCACTCCTTGGCACATGGTTCCTTCTTCCATTTTCAAAGTCAGCAATCTAACATCTTCAAATCTCTCAACCTGACTTCATTTTCCTACCTTCCACCTTCTTGTAAAAACTGCTGTAATTACATTTTCCCTCATCCAGATGATCCAGGACAAGCTCTCAACTCAAGGTCAGCTGATCATTAGCAACCTTAATTCCATCTGCAATCTTAATTTCCCTTTTTCATGTACTATAACATATCCCCAGGTTCTGGAAATTAGGATGTGGACATTTCTGGGAGTGGTGAAGAGGCGGTATTATTCTGCCTGCCACATCGGCTAAACTGGCAAATACATAAAAGATAATGAAACCTTTAGTGAGGCATCAAACTGGTCTAAAATAGACAAGATGAACTGAGCATGGTGGTGGGCACCTGTAATCTCAGCTACTTGGGAGGCTGAGGCAGGCAGGAGAATCACGTGAACCCAAGAGGCAGAGGTTGCAGTGAGCCGAGACCATGCCATTGCACTCCAGCCTGGGCAACAGAGTGAGACTCCATCTTACATAAATAAGTAAGGAAGACAAGATGAGAACAGTGTGAAATGGCAGAATAGTTGCAGGAAGAACTGAATGAGGAATACAAGGGAACAGACTACAGTCTGTACACTCTAATTTTCAAAAAGAAAATCAGGCTGCATTTGTAGAATAGCTCACATTTGTCTCTGACACATCTCCCCATGCTAAAATTATCATTTCTATTTCTGTAGCCTTCCCTACAGGATTGCTTGACTCAGAATCCTTTGATGACTCCAGGCATGTCTTCTAATCCTCTCCCAATCTCTTCGCAACTTTAAAATTGTGAGGCCGGGCACGGTGGCTCAAGCCTGTAATCCCAGCACTTTGGGAGGCCGAGGCGGGTGGATCACGAGGTCAAGAGATCGAGACCATCCTGGTCAACATGATGAAACCCCGTCTCTACTAAAAATACAAAAAAAATTAGCTGGGCATGGTGGTACGTGCCTGTAATCCCAGCTACTCAGGAGGCTGAGGCAGGAGAATTGCCTGAACCCAGGAGGCAGAGGTTGCGGTGAGCCGAGATCGTGCCATTGCACTCCAGCCTGGGTAACAAGAGTGAAACTCCGTCTCAAAAAAAAAGAAAAAAAAATTGTGAAACCTAACAAGTTTTCAATATGCAAAATGACCATTAAACATGAAAATGTGTTCGATTTCACTCACAATACAAGAAATGCTCATCAGAACTGCTGTAAGGTACCATTTCTCACATATCAGATTGGTGAAAACTTCAAAAGTCTGACCACGCATTCCGCTCGGCGGGCAGTGGAGAAAGAGTCACTACTCTGTATATTGCTGGTGGGAATGCCAACACATTCAACCCTCATAGGGAAATTTGGCAATATCTAATAAAACTAAACTTTAATTTTCCTTTGACCCAGCAATTCCACTTCTGGGAATTTACCCTGAAAATATACCTTCAATAATACGAAAACATATATGCACGGGGTGATTCACTGCAACACTGTTTGCTGTAATGTCTCCAGCCTACATGCTCACTCACAGTTAGGAGAGCACTTCAACCATGCTACACTCACACAGTGGAGGACTCTGCAGCTATAACACAGAAGGAGGAAAAGATCCCTAAGACTCTTGCATCTTTCCTTTTTTTTTTTTTCTTGAGACAGAATCTCGCTCTGTCACCAGGCTGGAGGGCAGTGGCAAGATCTCGGCTCACTGCAACCTCTGCCTCCCAGATTCACGCGATTCTCCTGCCTCAGCCTTCCAAATAGCTGGAACTACAGGCATGCACCACCACACCTGGTTAATTTTTGTATTTTTAGTAGAGGCGGGGTTTCACTGTGTTAGCCAGGACAGTCTCGATCTCCTGACCTCGTGATCTTCCCACCTCGGCCTCCCAAAGTACTGGGATTACAGGTGTGAGCTACTGGGTTCAGCCTCTCTTGCATCTTTCTAACACCATTTGGGCTGGGGCCCGCTTGTCCAGGCTGTGCTGCTTCTGCCCCTTGTTTTATTTGCTCATTGCCATGGCTTTCAGGAATTTTGCCTTGCCTTTGTCCTTCTTTTTCTTCCTCTGCTTGGTCATACTGAGCTCTGCGATGCTTTTCAACTAAAGGGGTCCCCTCTGGACCTGCTTATAGGCTGACATGGCACCCACCTGTAGTTTAGTAGCTAGACTGCCCTGATTACTTATGTTAATGATCAAATTGTCCCAGATTTCACTATTGGAAGCCCCTTTAAGCTGGCTCCTCTTGGCTATTGACATGTCCTGTTATTCTTTGAATGCCTTTTTTTTTTTTTTTTTTTTGAGATGGAGTCTCGCTCTGTCACCAAGGCTGGAGTGTACTGGTGCCATATCAGCTCACTGAAACCTCCACCCCCCAGGTTCAATAGATTATCTTGCCTCAACCTCCTGAGTAGCTAGGATTACAGGCATGTGCCACCTCATCCAGCTAATTTTTGTATTTTTAGTAGAGATGGGGTTTCACCATGTTGGTCAGGCTGGTCTTGAACTCCTGGCCTCAAGTGATCGGCCTGCCTCAGCCTCCCAAAGTGCTGGGATTAAGGTGTGGGCAGTGAGACAACACAGCCTGGGTAGCTGAACCAAGCCACCACCCAAGGCAGGAATAGAACATAAATCTTGTCCCTTTCTGAGCCCATTCCCCCAAAATCCCACTTCCAGACACTTCTAATGTGCATTGCTAGGCCAGGTATGGCTAATCGATCACAGTCTTCTTTGTAATGGAACCCAGACACATTCCACCTCAGAACCCTCATCTCTGGGCTCCAAGCAGCTGCCTGTATTTACTCAGAGTTAGCACATCACCTGGAGCCTACTTAGGATTCCCGCCTTAAGGACACCTCACAGGTGAAAGGACCATGGCCGAGCCCCATTGTAAACAGGCACGGGAGTAGTCAAATTGGAGGGTCCAGGTAGCAGTGCTGGTGGGCCAGGGTCTTCGAGGACCTATGTGTCCTAGATGAGGATCAAACGACATGCACCATTGGGAGAAATGGTCTCTGCTGATACAGATATTGAAATAACAAAGGCAGAAGAGAAAAATCAAGTATGGAGTTTGAGGTTGGCCTATGTAAACTACAGAATAAAGCAAAAAAAAAAAAAAAAAAAAAACCAGTTATTTCAAAATAAAATATAAATAATCATAGTGATGAATAAGCCACTGAATAAATAGGAATGCAAAAGTCCAAACTGATATAAATAAACGATTAAATAGAATCCTCATTAGAATGCCTACTAATAAATTTTGGTTTGGTTTTGTTTCTGAGATGGAGTGTCTCTCTGTCGCCTAGGATGGAGTGCAGTGGCATGATCTTGGCTCACTGCAAACTCTACCTACTGGGTTCAGGCGATTTCCTCCCTCAGCCTCCCCAAGTAGCTGGGACTACAGACATGTGCCACCCTGCCCAGGTAATCTTTCAATTTTTTAATTTTTTTTTTATTTTTTTTATTTTTTGAGACGGAGTTTCGCTCTTGTTACCCAGGCTGGAGTGCAATGGCGCGATCTCGGCTCACCGCAACCTCTGCCTCCCGGGTTCAGGCAATTCTCCTGCCTCAGCCTCCTGAGTAGCTGGGATTACAGGCACGCGCCACCATGCCCAGCTAATTTTTTTTGTATTTTTAGTAGAGACGGGGTTTCACCATGTTGACCAGGATGGTCTCGATCTGTTGACCTTGTGATCCACCCGCCTCGGCCTCCCAAAGTGCTGGGATTACAGGCTTGAGCCACCGCGCCCGGCCTTAATTTTTTAATTTTTAGTAGAGATGAGGTTTCACCATGTTGGCCTGGCTGATCTCAAACTCTTGACCTCAGGTGATTTCCCCCACTACACCTTGGCCTCCCAAAGTGCTGGGATTACAGGTGTGAGCCACCGCGCCCAGCCATAAATCTTTTTTTAAAGTGATGTATTTAGCTCTTCCCACTATCTTGGCTCCTGTGGAAGCCTGCTGGGAACAGGACTTCTAAAAGGAACTATGAATGGAAGGCTGTGGTCCAAGGCTATTTTTGCCGGCTATAAGCGGGGTCTTCAGAACCAAAGGGAGCACACAGCTCTTCTTAAAATTGAAGTTGTTTATGCCCGAAATGAAACAGAATTCTGTTTGGGCAAGAGATGCGCTTATGTATACAAAGCAAAGAACAATACAGTGACTCCTGGCAGCAAACCAAACAAAACCAGAGTAATCTGGGGAAAGGCACACAGAAACAGTGTCACGGTTCATGCCAAATTCCAAAGCAACCTTCCTGCTAAGGCTATTGGACACAGAATCCAAGTGATGCTTACCCCTCAAGGATTTAAACTAATGAAAAGTCAACAAATAAATGTGGATTTGTGCCCTTGTATTTTTGTTAAATGGATTAAAAATTTTACCCTAAAAAATGATATATTTAGAAAAACCACCATTTAGCAAACTAAAATTAATGGAGTCAAGCAAGGATCACCAACAGACACTGAAATTAATGGATAAAAGCCTGAAAAATAACAGGATATTTGTATAATATCAAAGTACCTGTTCAGAAACTACTTATTAGTTAAAAGTGGGGAAAAAAAAAAAAAAAACAGTAACTACAGCAGAGAACCAGGCAGACACCACCCTAATCCACATGGTCAAAGCAGTGGTGTGCTAGAGCTCACTCCTACCAACCCAGGAATGGGACATTGTCCAACCTTGCGTTCCATGATGACAGACTATTTAGAAATTGGCCGTGATAGGAGTATTTACGACACAGAATGGGGCAACAGCAAATGCCACAGATCAGAGCGACATCTCCCCTTCCAGAACCAGTTGTTAAATATTTATCAGCATCACCCTGGATCAAGGTTTACCAGAAAGCAATTCGACTTTCTGTGCCTCCTGATATTTCACACTAAGAAGAGCACAGTATCACCTTTGTTGTATTCTGTCCAAAATGTATGACCTCAATCTAGTGAGAAAACAGTGAGCGGGGTAAAAAACTACACTGAGAGGCATCCTACACAATAACTGGCCTGTACTGGCAAAACATCAAGGTCAGTTGGGCATGGTGGCTCACGCCCGTAATCCCAGCACTTTGGGAGGCCAAGGTGGGTGGACCACCTGAAGTCAGGAGTTTGAGACCAGCCTGACCAACATGGTGAAACCCCATCTCTACTAAAAATACAAAAAATTAGCAGGGTGTGGTGGCAGATGCCTGTAGTTCCAGCTACTTGGGAAGCTGAAGCAGGAGAATTGCTTGAACCAGGGAGATGGAGGTTACAATGAGGCTAGATAGCGCCATTGCCCTCCAGCCTGGGCGACAGGAGCAAAACGCAAAAAAAAAAAAAAAAAATCAAGGTCATGAAAGACAAAGATGATTGAGGAGATGTCAGAGACTAAAGAGGCAGAACAACTAAAAGCAATATATGATCCTAATTGGATGCTAGACCAGAAACCTTTATTATTATTATTATTATTAAGGACATTATTGGGACAACTGGTGAATATGAAAAAAATCTTTATATTGGAAAACAAACTAATGTCAATGTTAAATTTCTGATTTTTAACACCATACTATGGTTATATAATACAATAATGTCCCAAATGCATACGAAAGCATACGGAGGAAAAGGCATAGTCTGCAGCTTACTGTCAGGTGGTTCACCAAAACTATTTTTTAAAGAAAGAAACATGTTAAAAAGGAAAATGTAGGTACCAGACACGTAGTTCTTTGCACTATTCTGGGGACATTTCCGTAAGTCTGAAATCATTTAAACATTAAGTTACAAGAGAAAAACCATGAACCCTACCTGGTGCTCTGCCCTCATCTCGAGGTCCACAAGTCTGCAGTTGGAGGGAGGCGGTGAGCAACGGGTTCTCCGAGGTCTCAAGGGGCCCCAAGGCCATGAGACCAGAACAGAAGCGAAGGCCACGTCCAGCACCCACCCGCCTCAAGAGCCACAGCGTCTCTCGGGTCTCCACAGCCCCACTCAGGTCTTATGCGCAGGTCAGGGATTGGCCACAGGTGCCGTGACATCGCGTCTTTCCCCGGGTGCGTGGGGAAAGCTCAAGACTTTGCAGGAGGCGCACCTGTAGTGGCCCCACAACCAGGTGAGCGGTGATGAGGGCTCATTGCCTCAGCCGGAGATTCCAACCGCAGTGCGTGCACTTCTCTGGCTAGCGCGCGTTTCTAAAAGATGCAAGAATCCTGGCCTCTGATGGCTGTTCTCTCCCTTTCCCCTCCAAGCCCAGAGTTGTGACCCTGTGCCCTCTTTCCCTCCATTTTGGGCTCAGGAGTCAGGTACTAAGACTCAGTCACAGAGGGAAGTCAGGAGCTCCCTTGTGAATGCAGACTTAAGTAAATGCATCTTCTTCCAAAGCCTTCATGTTTTTCTTAATGTTGGCTTTGAGAGCCTAGTTCGTGGCCCAGGTGTCTCTGGCAGGATGCTGGCAGTCTTGGCCAATACCAGCTGACCACTCCCCCAGCTCCCTGGGGCGTGTTTCCCATTATCAATTAGTTGGAAATTGCACATCACTGTGTCCTGGCCTTACAACAAACACCTGTTCTGATCTACAGCCTCTTGCTGAAGGAACACCAGGAGACAGACCCCGGGTACACACACCACAGGTATTTTTACACCTAACATTTTCTGATGAAGTCTCGTTCATAGGTTGAAGGTGCTATATTTGAATTCTGGGGTGAACACAATAGGTTGCACAGGGAACAGATTCAGGTGCTGCTAAATCTGTTGTGATTATGGTTGCTTTTGCAAGTTTCTTCATTCATCCTATGTAGATAAGCCAGGCTAGACAAGGAATCCACTGTTTAGCATAGTAACTGGCACACAGGAGGTGCTTGGTAAATATCTGAATGACTTTATAATGCCCTGCACATTCTGCAGAGTTGGGAGTGATCACTCTCTGGATACTTGTAAATCTGGAAGTATTTTTCCCTATGTTGGCACTGCCATACTTCTTTAAAATTATACTTTAAAAAGAAACTGTGTTCTTCAAATACAGTGCTTGTGGAAGAAGTCTTGAGGTTCCTAAAGATCTCAAATTCTGAGCAGTGAAAGGAGACTGAATTACAGAACTATGATCTGTTTTTATTCTGTATTCATAAAATCTACTTATCATTTTTTCTCTATTTTTTTCTTATCCCCTTCCCCTGCAAAATAAAAAAGTTCTGTAGTGAAAAGTGTGAAGGAAAGACAATTGCTTATTTCAGTTGAGCAGACAGTCTCATCAAATGAAGACAAAGAACACATAATCGAGAGTGTGATGGGAGAGGGAAGACAAATTATTTTTAATGATTCACGGCAACCACATTTATATCCTATTGTTACTAGAGAAAAAAAAATGTCTTCAGATAACCAGTGGTCAGCAGATGAGGATGAAAGCCAATTATCCCGACTAATCAGGAAATCTAGAGACTCCCCCTTTGTCCCTATAGGTAAGTACAAGTTTTGAGAGGATGCTGGAAAACTGTAATAACATAATGATGCCTTACTCAGTGCCTCTGAGGACTGAAATGTCTCATATAATTGAATTTTTCCAGATAATTGAAGCTAACCTCCTCTAAACATGTGTTAAACTTTCAGAATAATTTCTAGTACGTGGTAAGCCCCCAGGAAATGTTAGCTGTTATTTGAGGCATCAAATTTTATTCTACTTCATTTTTTTAGAAGTCTACCTAAAATTATCAATTCCTAGTCAGTCAGATGGAATAGACTGAGTGAACATTAACGTTTCAGTCATAACTCAGGACTGTCAACAGCAGCATCAGTTTATTAAAGTCTGTTAGGAACCATTGAGATGCGTATGTCTCCTTGTCTTGTAAGTAATCTAAACTTTAAGTTCTTATGTCTTCTGTTTATAGATTTTTCTGTTTCTTTCTTACTATTGGGTACATTTAAAACTTCTGCTTCTAAGCCAGGCATGGTGGCTCATGCCTGTAATCCCAGCACTTTGGGAGGCCGAGGTGCGAGGATTGCTGGAGCTCAGGAGTGCAGGTTGCAGTGAACCAAGATCACACCACTGCACTTCAGCATGGGTGGCATAATGAGATCCTGTCTCACAAACAAAAAACCAGAACTTCTGCGTCTAATGTTTTTAATGTTCTGTGGCACCAGAAGCTATATACCCAAGCTTGAAAGAACTGTGAGTCAATTCAGAGGAAATCTCTGAGTAAAAGCCTGGACCTATCTGAACACTTGTGAGCATGAACTTCGTAGTGGTCATTCTGGCTGCTCAGTGGCTCTCTATGCTGGTGTGCTCCAGATGTTGAGTTTGATGGCAAAATAAATTCTGGGCTAAAAAAGTGATGCTATAATTAGGCTGGGCAAGGTGGCTCATGCCTGAATTTCAGCACTTTGGGAGGCTGAGGCGGGCAGATAGCTAGAGGTCAGAAGTTTGGGACCAGCTTGGCCAACATGGTAAAACTCCATCTCTACTAAAAATACATAAAATTAGCCAGGCATGGTGGCATGTGCCCATAATCCCAGCTATTGAGGATGCTGAGGCACCAGAATCACTTGAACCCAGGAGGAAGAGGTTGCAGTGAGCCAAGATCATGCTACTGTACTCTAGTCTGGGTGAAGAGCAAGACTGTCTCAAAATAAAAAAGAGAGATACTATAATTCGATCACTTAATGATCTATGCCTTAGCTTCTTCATGCTTTCCCCACACATATTTAGTATGTTTAAGTTTTCAACAAGTACTATGTGTATGTGGACTTATAAAAATAACGCCACAAAACCTAAGCACCAATATTATGTTTCAAAGTCCAAGCTCTTGCTTTCTTCTCCATGGATGTATACTTCAGCCATGCCTGTTTCCTTGTATTCATTTTGTCTGGAAACTATTAAAATAATTTACTTAAATCAGACTGACATAAGTTTGCAAAAATATTAATTCCATAAAAACTTCTAAATAGGTATGCCAGATGTTTCCATTAAGTGTTACTGTGACTCTAGCTACTTTCTCAGTGTCATTATTCACATAACCAAAAAGAATCAAATTTTACTTTACAGTAATATTGTTTAGAAGTTTTCATTTAAGACTTGTAATAGCACCCATAAGAAATGGAAGCAAATAATTTAATAGTGATTTATCTTCCTTAGCATTTTTAACTAGAAAAACAATTCAAAAACAAAATGCTACGTGAACAGATCACTATAATGAACAGAGATTAATCACTGTGCCTGTTGTACATTAAATTATTTTTCCAGAGACATTTTGGGTGATTAAAGTGGAAAGATAAGAGTGTTTCCAGCTAAATTCAATTATAAACAAACTAGAGACACTATATGGAAAACAGTAAAGGTTCTGACTTTAATCTTGAAAAGAAAATCAATTTAAATAAAAACAACTCTGATTTGATTAAGGGAAGAGAGCCAAGCTTTTGCTAATAAATAAATAATAACGAAATTTGGTAGGCTGGGCAAGTGGCTCATGCCTGTAATCCCAGCCCTTTGGGAGGCAAAGGCGGGTGGATCACTTGAAATCAGGAGTTTGAGACCAGCCTGGCCAAGATGGTGATACCCTGTCTCTACCAAAAATACAAACATTAGCCAGGCGTGGTGGCGCACATCTGTAATCCCAAGTACTCAGGAGACAGAGGCATGAGAATCACTTGAACTCAAGAGGTGGAGGTTGCAGTGAGCTAAGATCACACTACTTACTGCACTCCACCCTGGATAAGAGAGCGAGATTCTGTCTCAAAAAAAAAAAAAAAAAAAAAAAAAAAAAAAAAAAAAAAAAAGAGACTACTGTATTCATTAATTTGAGGGGTGTGTGTGTGGGTGTGTGTGTGTGTGTGTGTGTGTTTAGTAGAGGCAGGGTTTCACCATTTTAGCCAGGCTGGTCCCGAACTCCTGACCTCAAGTGATACACCTGCCTCAGCCTCCCAAAGTACCTGAATTACAGGCATGAGTTACCACACCTAACCCTGTGTTCATGAATTGGAAGGCACAGTCTATTAGTAAAGATGTCAATTATCCCCAAATTGATCTATAGGCTTAATGTCATTCCTGTCAAAACCCCAACAATGGTTTTTGCAGACATAGTCAAACTTATTCTAAAACTTATATGGAAAGGCACAAGTCCTAGAAAAGCTAAAATAATCTTTTTTAAAAAAAGATAAAATGGAAAGAATCACTCTGGCTAATAAGGCTTACTATATTCCTACAGTATATCAACATGGTATGGTACTGATGGAAGGTCAGATATATAGATCAATGGGATAGAATAGAGAATCCAAAAGGCTGGGCACAGTGGCTCACGCTTATAATCCCAGCATTTCAGGAGGCTGTGGCGGGCGGGTCACTTGGGGCCAGGAGTTCAAGGCCAGCCTGGCCAACATATTGAGACCCATCTCTACTAAAAATACAAAAGTTAGCTAGGCATGGTGGTGCATGTCTGTAATCCCAGCTACTAGGGAAGGTGAGGCACGAGAATCACTTGAACCTGGGAGGTGGAGGTTGCAGTGAGCTGAGATTGCACCACTGCATTCCAGGCTGAGCAAGAGTGAGACTCTGTCTCAAAAGAAAACAAACAAACAAAAATAGACTCACATGTGTACTATGCAAATGTTTTCTTACTGTGCATTTTGTCATTGTCATATTCTATTATGTCTACCATATCCTCTTAGAGATGTTTTAAATATGCTATTCTATTTTCTTCAGTTTTTGTCGTTGTTACATGTTTTTGTTTTGTTTTGCATTTAACTCCTACTTATAAAAAAAATTTTTTTTTGCAGGGTCTGATGTGAAATACAAATCCAAGTTATTTCTTCTCTATACCAACAAGTTGTACTTATGGCATTTATTAAATTATTCCACTAGCTGGTGGGTTTTTCCGTTGGTTTGTTCATTTGTTGTTTTGAGACAAAGTCTTGCTCTGTCGCCCAGGCTAGAGAGAGCAGTGCCACGATCTAAGCTCACTGCAACCTCCATCTCCCAGGTTCAAGTGATTCTCCTGCCTCAGCCTCCTGAGTAGCTGGGATTACAGGCGTGGACCACCATGCCTGGCTAATTTTTTTTGTATTTTTAGTAGAGACGGGGTTTCACCATGTTGGCCAGGCTGGTCTCGAACTCCTGACCTCAAGTGATCTACCCACCTCGGCCTCCCAAAGTGCTGGGATTATAGACATGAGCCACCACACCTGGCCCAGTATCTGTTATTTGGCTATTTTTATTTTGTTATGGATTCAGTTCTCGGTGTTTTAAATCTTCTTCTAGAATATTTCCTAGTTGATGAGTTCTTTGTTTTAGAGCCAGTTATATAGAATACTGGTTGTCACAGCAGTATATTCACCCCTTGACATTTGTAGGAAATACAGAAATATTTTTTTAGGCTTCTGAACCTTTCTAGAATCACAGTTCTTGCCAGAGTTATGCTTCTTGTGCGTATATTCATACGTTTTCAACTCTCACTAAAGTTTATTGTTTCACTTTATACAGAAGAACAATTTTTTTTTATCACTCTACTGGACTTACTTCTTCTTTGGTAACAGGAAAAGAAGAGTAAAAGCCAAACACTCAAAAGCTGTGGGTACTGAGATGTTGGGTTAGTTCCCTTGCTGGCTAAGTGACTTGCCACAGATAATAACCTTGTAGTATGCACAATTTGAAATCACTCCTTAGGAAATCACGTATAGCTAGACAAGTTACTATACTATATGGTTCTAATTTTTCTGGGAAGAGTCAAAACTGCAAATATTGGACCCAAGAATTTTTTATTTTTATTTTTATTTTTTTTTATTTTTTGAGACGGAGTTTCGCTCTTCTTACCCAGGCTGGAGTGCAATGGCGCGATCTCGGCTCACCGCAACCTCCGCCCCCTGGGTTCAGGCAATTCTCCTGCCTCAGCCTCCTGAGTAGCTGGGATTACAGGCACGCGCCACCATGCCCAGCTAATTTTTTGTACTTTTAGTAGAGACAGGGTTTCACCATGTTGACCAGGATGGTCTCGATCTTTTGACCTCGTGATCCACCCGCCTAGGCCTCCCAAAGTGCTGGGATTACAGGCGTGAGCCACCACGCCCAGCCTACGAATTTTTTTTTTTAATTGTACTTTAAGTTCTGGGGTACATATGCAGAACATGCAGGTTTGTTACATAGGTATACACTGAAAAATGTTCTTTTTTGAAGTCTTTCCTGCTTATCTTCCAGGTTCTTATCCTTTAGACAATCCTTCATTTAACTCTCTAAGCACTTGAAAATTCTTGCCTGCTGTGTATTTAACCCATAAATTTTTTTTTCTAGAGACAGGGTGTCACCCTGTCACCTAGGCTGGAGTACAGTGGTGCAGTCATAGCTCCCTGAAGCCTTGAATTCCTGGGCTCACAGGATCCTCCTGCCTCAACCTCCTGAGTAGCTGGGACTATAGATAGGCATGCATCACCATGCCTGGCTAATTTTTTTTTTTTTTTTTGTAGGGATGAGGGTCTTGCTATGCTGCCCAGGCTCTTCTCAAACTCCTGGTCTCAAGTGATGCTCCTGCCTCAGCCTTCCAAATAACCTATAGTTTTACAATTCACAGGTATAGCAGGCTTTGTGGCTGTGGTGTCCTACGGTCTTTACAAATTAAAGTATAGAAGAGATCAGAAAATGTCACTTCATCTTATTCACATGAGAGTTGCTGCCCAAGGATTTGTTGTCGGAGCTGTGACTCTAGGTAACCTGCTTTATTTGTACCTTATGTTCAGCTGTCCTTGAGAGTATATTTACATATTTTATTCATTCATAGTAGAAGACGATTACTGGGTCACAATGATACAATGAGAGAGAGGTGGGAAAGACTGATCTTCCCTTAGTTGACGTTGGGGCCCATTTGTGCACTTAATTTTTTTTTTTTTTTTGAGACGGAGTTTCGCTCTTGTTACCCAGGCTGGAGTGCAATGGCGCGATCTCGGCTCACCACAACCTCCGCCTCCTGGGCTCAGGGAATTCTCCTGCCTCAGCCTCCTAAGTAGCTGGGATTACAGGCACGCGCCACCACGCCCAGCTAGTTTTTTGTATTTTTAGTAGAGACGGGGTTTCACCATGTTGACCAGGATGGTCTCGATCTCTCGACCTCGTGATCCACCCGCCTCAGCCTCCTAAAGTGCTGGGATTACAGGCTTGAGCCACCGCGCCCGGCTGTGCACTTAAATTTTTTAGGATTGCAGCTGACAAAACCCAGGGTAGAGAATCAGGGCAATGGGCTGCTAGTCTCTTTAGTGAAGGGAGTGGTGAATAGTTCCTATCCTATAACTCAAGAGCAGCAGTTATGGATAGATCACAGCCTGTATTTTGGCTATGATCCACCTCATGGCTAAGAGCAGTGATCATATTTCCCAGCCTGTATGGACAGGAAATGTTGTTATTAGTTAAACTAGGAAGAAGCCATTTTTAGAGTCCACGCATCTCAACTGCCTTCTTCTTTCATTCCAAGTTTGAGCAATAGGCAAATCTTTTTTTTATTAGTCCATAAATCAAGCAAGACCTATCAGTCAAATCCAAAGAAAAGGCATAAAATTATCTTCCATTAATTCAGGTTATACCCACAGCTAAATAGATAGTTCTAACAAGAAGTCCATTTTAGAACCTGAATAAATTTGTTTGGACTACATTAATGAGAACAGGTCACAATTTCCTTAGGTCCCCTTCATGCTGTGCAGAGTAGAGTCATCCTAAGAGTAGGATGGAGATTATAGAATTCTGGGTGTGGGGCTTAAGTTATATGGTAATGATCTTATTACTGTTAGCTGTAATGTGCTCCAAGTACAGGAAAACTTACTACAAAGTTACAGTCCTCATTTTCATCATTCAGCAAACATTTATTGAACACCTGCTATGTGCCAGACACCGTCTAGAAATATGACTCAGTCCTTACCTTTATAGTTTAGTCTCTTTAGGGAGACAGACCAAGAAAGGAAGGAAACAATATAAAGTTATAGATGCTGTGACAGAAACAGCACAGGCTGGCCAGGCATGGTGGCTCACACCTGTGATCCCACAACTTTGGGAGGCTGAGGCGGGCAGATCACCTAAGGTCAAGAGTTCAAGACCAGCCTGGCCAGCATGGTGAAACCCCGTCTCTACTAAAAAAAATACAAAACAACAACAAAAAAAAGCTCGGTAGTAGCACATGCCTGTAATCCCAGCTACTAGGGAGGTTAAGGCAGGACAATCACTTGAACCTGAGAGGCAGAGGTTGCAGTGAGCTGAGATCGTACCATTGCATTCCAGCCTGGGCAACAAGAGTGAAACTCCATCAGAAAAAACAAACAAACAAACAAAAAAAGCTGGGTGTGGTGGCTCTCTCTCAACACTTTGGGAGGCTGAGGCAGGCAGATCACTTGAGGTCAGGAGTTCAAGACCAACTTGGCCAACACCCACCTCTACTAAAAATACAAAAATTAACGAGGCGTGGTGGTGTGCACTTGTAGTCCCAACTACTCGTGAGGCTGAGGCAGAAGAATCGCTTGAACCAGGGAGGTGGAGGTTGCAGCGAGCTGAGATCATGCCACTGCACTCCAGCCTGAGCATCAGAGCAAGACTCCGTCTCAAAAAAAAAAGAAGAAGAAATAGCACAGGTTGCTATGGTAGCACAAACCTGAGGGAGTGGTATTTAACAAGGGCTGGGAGGCCAGGGGAGGCATCTCTAAGGATGTAAATCATGTGCTGAACTAAGAATAAGGAGGAATTAACTAAGCAGAGAAGGAACTCAGGATTCTAGGCAGAGGAAAAAACAAAGGCACAGAAGCATGGCATGTAAGTGGAAAACTACATAGCTTGGTAGGTGAATCAGTGTTTGATAAGAAAAGCAAAACTACTAGTAGTAATATTTAGTGAGGGATTTATTACAGGTATTTAGACTTATATAATTATGAGGCTCTTGCATATGATTCTGGAGCTTGGGCCTGAAGTAAGCAGGGAAAGGAATTAGAAAAGGAAAGTAGGCCAGGCGTGGTGGGTCACCCCTGTAATCCCAGCACTTTGGGAGGCTGAGGTGGGGGATCACTTGAGGTCAGGAGTTCGACCTCAAATGGTCCACCTGCCTCAGCCTCTCAAAGTGTTGGGATTGTGGGCATGAGCCACTGGACCCAGCCTTTATTTTTTGTAGAAATGAGGTTCTCAATTCATTGCCTAAGCTGGTCTTGACCTCCTGACCTCAAGTGATCCTCCCACCTCAGCCTCCCAAACTGCTGGGATAACAGGCACAAGCCACCACGCCTGGCCTAATGGGTGATAATTTAAGAAACTATTTTACTACTACATTGCATGGACTGTTAGTATCCTCTTTATCACTGAAAACATGGCCATTAATGCCTTTAAATTTAAACGGATCAGAGAACCAATCCTGGATAACCCAAAACCACTTCAGAATCTATCATCATGGTTCTGTTCCTCTGGAAGCACTTCTAATTCCAAACTGTTATCAGTCAGGATTCAGACAAGCAAAACTACCAGTATATAAAAAGCAATTTAGGCTGGGTGTGGTGGCTCATGCCTTCAACCTCAGCATTTTGGGAGTCCGAGGCAGGAGGATCACTTGAGCCCGTAAGTTTGAGACCAGTCTGGGCAATATGGCAAATACGCTGTCTCTACAAAAAATTAAGAAGTTAGCCAGGCAGGTCTCGTCCACCTGTGGTCCCAGCTACTTGGGAGGCTGAGATGAGAGGATAGCTTCAACCCAGAAGGTCAAGGCTGCAGTGAGCCTTGCTCGCACCACTGCACTCCAGCCTTGGCCACAGAGCGAGACATTGTCTCAAATAATAATAATAAAAGAAGAAGGAAGATGAAAAGGAGGAGGATGAAGAGGAGGAAGAGGAGGAGAATAAAAAGGAAGAGACAGGAGGAGGAGAAGGGAGTTATTACAGAGATATGACCTTAAAACATTTTTGGAGTTGGCTAAACAGTCCATGCGAGGCTATTGCTTATGTTTCTAATACTGGGGCCCGAAGTCAGCAAATCAACAGTTGAGAAGGAAAGATAAACAGGAATTTGCAAGGATGAGCTAGAACTGACAAAGGATGAGGCAGACTCACTGCCTCCCAACTTACAGTAATCTCTACTCCAGTTCCACCGATTTTTTTCTTTGGGGAGACAGGGTCTTGCTCTGTCATCCAGGGCTGGAGTGTGGTGGTGCAATCATGGTTCACTGTAGCTTCAAACTCCTGGGCTCAAGTGATCCTCCCACCTCAGCTTCCCTAGTAGCTAGGATTAGGATTATAGGCATGCACCACCATGCCCAGCTAATTTTTTTGTTCTGTTTTTTTCTTTTCTTTTCTTTTACACATCAGTAGATGTGTAGATTCCTTGTGAATGTTTCGTTTTTTTCTGAGACAGAGTCTCGCTCTGTCACCCAGGCTGGAGTGCAATGGCACAAACTCGGCTCACTGCAACCTCTGCTTCCCGGATTCAAGCAATTCCCATGCCTCAGCCTCCCGAGTAGCTGGGAATACAGGCACCTGCCACCACGCCTGGCTAATTTTTGTATTCTTAGTAGAGACAGGGTTTCGTCATGTTGGCCAGGCTGGTTTGAACTCCTGACCTCAGGTAATCCACCTGCCTCAACCTCCCAAAGTGCTGGGATTACAGGTATGAGCCACCACGCGTGGCCCTAATTTTTTTAAATTTTTTTGTAGAGATGAGTCTTGCTATTTTAACTAGGCTAGTCTCTAACTCCTACCCTTAAGTTATCCTCCTCCCTTGGCCTTCCAAAGTGCTGGGATTACAGGCATAACCCCCCACCACCCACCTGCATTTATATTGTTTATAAATAAATGCACATTTTGGCCTGGCACAGTGGCTCACACCTATAATCCTAGCACTTTGGGAGGTCGAGGCAGGTGGATCACCTGAGGTCAGGAGTTTTGAGACCAGCCTGGCAACATGGTAAAACCCCATCTCTACCAAAAATACAAAATTACTTGGGTGTGGTGGCACACACCTATAGTTCCCGCTACTCAGAAGGCTGAGACAGGAGAACTGCTTGAATCTGGGAGGTGGAGGCTGCAGTGAGCCAAGATTGTGCCACTGCAAACCAGCCTGGGTGAGACAGAGCGAGACTGTCTCAAAAATAAATAAATGAACGCACATTTTGAGAGGAATGCTCAACATATTTACTTAAGTAAATTTGCAAAGTTTGGAGACCATCTACGTATGTGATGTGGAAATGTCATATGTAAGGCCAGGCACAGTGGCTCACACCTGTAACCCCAGCACTTTGGGAAGCCAAAGCGAGTGGATCACCTGAGGTCAGGAGTTCAAGACCAGCCTGGCCAACATGGCAAAATCCCATGTCTACTAAAAATACAAAAATTAGCTGGGCATGGTGGTGGGTGCCTTTAAACCCAGTTACTCGGGAGACTGAAGCAGGAGGATTGCTTGAACCTGGGAGGTGGAGGTTGCAGTGAACTGAGATCATGCCATTGCACCACTCCAGCCTGGGTAACAAGAGCATGACTCCATCTCAAAAAAAAAAAAAAAAAAAAAGTCATATGTACAATAATGAATATATGGTTTTCACACTCAGAAGAAAGATCTAATTTTGAAATCTGATACCTTGATAACTGAGATGGGTATGGGCTGGTGGTGGTGGTATGTGAGTTGTAGTTTAAATCTGTGACTCCCTAACTTGCTTTTGGGTGTCAACATTTGCTGACATCTTTGGAACTCACTAAAGCAGCTCCTCTCTTCCTCATCTTATTTCCCCTAGCTACTTCCCCCTTTCTGCATGCCTAGGACTCTGTGGAAGCCATACATATCATCCATCTAAACTCATAGGCAATTCACCCACTAGATCATAAATCCCCAGAAGCAGGAATTAGATCCATTCATCCATTCACCATTTGTTTTCCTCAGGATACTGAGTACAAACAAAGACTGAATAAATGTTTGCTGAGATGACTACTATTTTTATCTTAACATCTGGTCAAATTTGCCTGCTTTCCTTCTATTTCACCAACATTTTGCTGGCATAATAACATCATAAATGTATTAGTATTCATTTTAAAGGGCTCCTAGAGTTTTGTTTTTTTCTAGAGTCACTTGTATGATCCAAACCAAAAACTAATAAAAACGAGGGCCTTTGTTTGCTTCTGTTTAAATTGTGGGCTAGTTTCATAAAAATAGAACAAATGGAAGAAATTCAGTGTTTTTTTCCCCATGGATACTCAATTAATATACATCTTTCTGTTTCTAGGTGTTCTCTACTCTATGTATAAGGATCATGTTAGACCTAGATTCTTCAATGAGTCCAAAAGATGAAGCTACATGCTGGAAGCAAGAAAGACAAGAAGCTTCTGAAAATGATTTATTATGAAGAGTCAATTTTCAATAGCCAATTTTACTACAGAAGTATCACAGAACGCTCACGTACTTCAAGTCTCAATGTTTGAAGTTGATTTCCAGATCAACAATCATAAACAGTCAACTCAGAAATATCTCTTGTTGATGTCTTTCAGAACCTAGGGCATTATTTTCTGACTTATTTTTTTTTCTGACTTAATTTTTTAGTTAGTGGCAGAAAATAATCTGCCACACTGATAGTCTGCCAAATCAATATGTAACTACTATATAACTATTAATAAAAATTAATAGTTATATAGTAGTTACAGAAGACTTCTTTTTTTTTTTTTTTTTTTTTTGAGATGGAGTCTTGTTCTGTGGCCCAGGCTGGAGTGCAGTGGTATGATCTCAGCTCACTGCAGCCTCCACCTCCCAGGTTCAAGCGATTCTCCTGCCTCAGGCTCCCGAGTAACTGAGATTACAGGCACCCACCACCACAGGTGGCTAAATTTTGTGTTTTAGTAGAGATAGGGTTTCACCATGTTGGCCAGACTGGTCTCGAACTTCTGACCTCATGTGATCCACCCACCTTGGCCTCCCAAAGTGCTGGGATTAGAGGTGTAAGCCATTGCACCTGGCCGCAGAAGACTTTTCTTTTCTTTTTTTTTTTTTTTTTTTTTGAGACAGAGTTTTGCTCTTGTTACCCAGGCTGGAGTGCAATGGCACGATCTCGGCTCACTGCAACCTTCACCTCCTGGGTTCAAGCAATTCTCCTGCCTCAGCCTCCCGAGTAGCTGGGACTACAGGTGTGCACCACCATGCCCAGCTAATTTTTGTATTTTTAGTAGAGACAGGTTTCACCTTGTTGACCAGGATGGTCTCGATCTCTTGACTTCATGATCCACCTGCCTTGGCCTCCCAAAGTGCTGGGATTATAGGCGTGAGCCACCGCACCCGGCCAGACTTTTCTATATGTTAAATGTGACACCCTATTCATGACTTAATTCTCCCCAAATAGGGCAAAGCAATTAAAGTTTCATAAACTCCTTTTTAGAATGGGTAATAATTACACCAGAGGAGAATGGTCATGTTGCTATATAAAGTTGGTTCACCACTTTACATCTCATTCTTATATAGAAAATTGACTATTTTACCCCAAACATATGTTTAACATTTAATTATTTATTCATTTTTAGATTTCTTCAAAGTATTCCTAGGAATACAAAAGTGAACTACAAACAAATTTCTTTTCCCTGAGATGGCAAAAAGGATTTAGTCCAGACCTGCTATTGCTAATGTGGTACGACACTGTAGAAAACACAGGAAATCAAAGCAGATGTTAAAGGTTAAGTATGCCTGTGGCCTTGAACTCCTGTCTAACTGCCCTCAGGGTCTAAAAAATCATCTAGGGTTTTTTGAAGACATAACTGCTTTAAGCTTAATCCCAAAGAATCCAAGCCTAGGAGAGAAAAAAAAAGTCACTGAAATAAAATCAAGAATATATGCAAGGCCAGGCGTGGTGGCTCAAGCCTGTAATCCCAGCACTTTGGGAGGCCGAGGCAGGTGGATCACGAGGTCAAGAGATGGAGACCATCCTGGTCAACATGGTGAAACCCCGTCTCTACTAAAAATAGCAAAAAAATCAGCTGGGCATGGTGGCGCGTGCCTGTAATCCCAGCTACTCAGGAGGCTGAGGCAGGAGAATTGCCTGAACCCAGGAGGTGGAGGTTGCGGTGAGCTGAGATCGCGCCATTGCACTCCAGCCTGGGTAACAAGAGTGAAACTCCGTCTCAAAAAAAAAAAAAGAATATATGCAATATAAGTTGATTTCTGGTGGTGATTTCCTTCTCCTCAGTGTTTCCTGTAATGGAGGGTGACACTGACAAGAAGGTGAAGTCCAGTATTTGTAGACAAGAAAAACATGAAAATGTCTGCATTCTGGATATTCACTCACTGTTCTGTGTATTATATAAATTTTTCTCCACTGGCACAGAGAATTACTTTAAAAGTTGTCAACAGCAGAGCATGGTGGCTCACGCCTGTAATCCCAGCACTTTGGGAGGCTGAGGTGGGTGGATCACCTGAGGTCGAAAGTTGAAGACCAGCCTGACCAACATGGAGAAACCTTGTCTCTACTAGAAATACAAAACTAGCCAGGCGTGGTGGCACATACCTGTAATCCTAGCTACTCGGGAGACTAAGGCAGAGAACTGCTTTAACCCGGGAGGTGTAGGCTGTAGTGAGCTGAGATCACACCATCGTACTCCAGCCTGGGTGACAGAACAAGACTCCGTCTTTTTTAAAAAAAAAAAAAAAAAAAAAGCTGTCGATTGTACCTATCATGAAGTTCTTCTAGTGCTATCAACAAGTACACATATTTTGGTCAACACCGTCCTCTTTGGAAAATATGCAAGGAAATAATCCAACTGCTTTATTCCATTAGAGTACATATTCCAGCAGCTGGATCTAATATGTTCCATTAAGGTCAGGAAAATTGAGGACAGCTGGCATAGAAATAAATCATCCTTTCATGTTGGTTGTGCAATGAAAAGTATTTCTAACCAGGCTACTGGAAAGATTCTACCTTCTCAATCTATATTCAGCAATAAAAATAATTAAGAGTTTAATTAGAAATTAGCTTTTCTTACAAAACCCAATATGTTCCACAATTTAGTAATGTTACTCTGAGAGAGCTAAAGTAATATATTTGTTGCTTGAAAAAAGCAATGCAAAGTATTCATTTGTTAAGAAGAGCTATGCATGAGAACCTACAAACTGTGTTTAAATTAAAATGTAAAATCACATTTGGAGAAAAGTTAGGAATTATGCAGGATGTGAATTTAACAGCTTGGGTAAAGTGGGAGGGTCACTGCATGAAGACCCTATAAACAGATAATATAACAATATGTGACTTTGCAAAAGACTTCCTGGGCAAAGCTTTACTGGCCTCATGTTGTAATGTCTGAAACTGAGAAGGCTGTTTGTTTCAGCTACCACAACCCCGCCTCTCTTATTAATGAAACTACTTCATATGCATATATGCTCTGCCTGCCTTTTATATTAGGCTGGCACACAGTTATGCAGCAGCGACTGCCCAGTAACAGTTACCTAATTGCACTTTTTCTTGACATTCTGTGTATGCATTGTCAGAGCATCCTTTTACGGACTGACTCCATCGTGCTGAACTCCAGAAATTAAGTAAATGCACTCAGTTTGTTCTCAAGATTGAATATATTCATATTTGTATAAGTACACTTATACAAATTATAGTAATCTAGATTTGTATACCACAAATTGGAGAGTGATTAAATATTCTTAACTTAGAAAAAAGCTTACTCAGTTGAGCACAGTGGCTCATGCCTATAATCCCAGCACTTTGGGAGGCTGAGGTGGATGGATCACCTAAGGCTGGTAGTTCACGACCAGCCTGACCAACATGGAGAAACCCTGTCTCTACTAAACATATAAAATTAGTCAGGTGTGGTGGTGCATGCCTGTAATCCCAGCTACTCAGGAGGCTGAGGCAGGAGAATCACTTGAATCTAGGAGGCAGAGGTTGCAGTGAGCCGAGATTGTGCCACTGCACTCCAGCCTGAGCAACAACAGTAAGACTCCATCTTAAAAAAAAAAAAAAAAGAAAAGAAAGAAAGAAAGAAAAAGCTTACCCAAGACTCACTTTTTTTTTTTGAGATGGAGTCTCATTCTGTTGCCAGGCTGGAGTGCAGTGGCGCAATCTCAGCTTACTGCAACCTCCACTTCCCGTGTTCAAGTGATTCTCCTGACTCAGCCTCCTGAGTAGCTTGTTTTACAGGTGTGCGCCACCATGCCCAGCTAATTTTTGTATTTTTATTAGGGATGGGGTTTCACCATGTTGGTCAGGCTGGTCTTAAACTCCTGACCTTGTGATCCACCTGCCTTGGCCTCCCAAAGTACTGGGATTATAGGCATGAGCCACCGCGCCCAGCCTCAGTGTGCTTTATTAAGAAATTTTCTAGGCCGGGCGCGGTGGCTCAAGCCTGTAATCCCAGCACTTTGGGAGGCCGAGGCGGGTGGATCACAAGGTCGAGAGATCGAGACCATCCTGGTCAACAAGGTGAAACCCCGTCTCTACTAAAAATACAAAAAATTAGCTGGGCATAGTGGTGGGTGCCTGTAATCCCAGCTACTCAGGAGGCTGAGGCAGGAGAATTGCTTGAACCCAGGAGGCAGAGGTTGCGGTGAGCCGAGATCGCGCCATTGCACTCCAGCTTGGGTAACAAGAGCGAAACTCCGTCTCCAAAAAAAAAAAAAAGAAATTTTCTGATTACAGGAGTTGTGTGGCCTGAAGGGTACACTTGTAAACCTGTATTCTCCGTTCCTAATAACATACTGTTAAGGAATGGAAAAGAGCTATAGAAATTCCATAAGTACTTAACCAATCACCTCACCTTTTTATGAGCTCATAACAAGATGTTTTTATTTTTTACCTTCCTTTCCCCCGACACTCTCTGGTAATGAAACTACTGAGAAATAAAACTGCCCAGGGAGGTGGTGGAAATCCAACAAACTGGATTTTTTGGTTCATCTGGAGTTGTTTTCATTTATCAAGAAACCAAAACAACTGAAACTTATTCTAAGAGTCTCTCTTGCAAGTAAAAGCGTAAACTGATGTTAATTCAGTCTCAACTTTAAGATCAGGATTATAACCTAAGTTGCAGGGTTGGCTGCTCTTTTTATCTGAAGTTTCAAGAGGCCCTGAAGTACAAATGAGAAAATTTTAAAGTGTCATTTTAGAAAAATTCCTGCCATTTTAAGGGCCAAACAATTATAAATGAAGATAGGCAATGTCTGGATTTTTTAAAAAGTTTTATTGAAATGTAGTAAGTTCTGAAATAAGGCAGAGAGGTCATATATTTAATGCTCAAAGGGGAAAGTGATGCACAAAGTCACACAAAAGCTGCAGGATTTGCAGACTCAACACCTTTGGGGCTAGAAAGAAATGAGGAATGGGCTGGATGTGGTGGCTCATGCCTATAATCCCAGCACTTTGGGAGGCCAAGGCTGGCAGATCACTTGAGCTCACAAGTTCAAGACTGGCCTGGGCAACATGGTGAAACCCCATCTCTACAAAAAATACAAAAACTAGCTGGGCATGGTGGTGTGTGCCTGCTGTCCCAGCTACCTGGTAGGCTGAAGTGGGCGGATGGCTTGAGCCCAGGAGGCAGAAGTTGCAGTGAGCTGAGATCACACCACTCCACTCCGACCTGGGCAACAGAGCAAGACCCTGTCTTAACAACAACAACAACAAAGCCTGGGCACAGTGGCTCACACCTATAATCCCAGCACTTTGGGAGGCTAAGTCAGGCAGATCACTTGAGGTCAGGAGTGTGAGACCAGCTGGCCAACATGGTAAAACCCCATCTCTACTACAAATACAAAAATTAGCTGGTGTGGTGGGGTGTGCCTGTAATCCCAGCTATTTAGGAGGCTGAAGGAGGAGAATCATTTAAACCCTGGAGGTGGAGGTTGCAGTGAACTGAGATCACATCACTGCACTCCTGCCTGGGCAACAGGGCAAGACTGTGTCTCAAAAAAAAACAAGAAACAACAACAACAACAAAATTAAGGAAACAAATTTGTGGTTAGAAAAGTGGGTGAAAAAAAACAATCTATACATGTAGGCAAGCAGTTTGTCATATGCAGACTAATCTTCCAAATCTCGGTCTAGTACTGATCTCATGCTACTTGGTATAGATTTTTTTTTCTGTTGCCCAGGATGGAGTGCAATAGCACAGTCTAGGCTCACTGCAATCTCCGCCACCAGGGTTCAAATGATTTTCCTGCCTCAGCCTCCTGAGTAGCTGGGATTACAGGCACCCTCCCCCATGCCCAGCTAAGTTTTTTATTTTCAGTAGAGACGGTGTTTCACCATGTTGGCCAGGCTGGTCTCAAACTCCTGACCTCATGATCCGCCCACCTCGGCCTCCCAAAGTGCTGAATATTTTAAAGTGAAATGTTTGGCATTCCCTAGGAGTTTCAACAATACAAATATTAGCCACTCTTAGAAACAGACTTTGGACCTAGAAATGATGTTTGGCGTGTTGACGGGAATAGTGAGAAGAAACTAAACTGAGGACTATACAAATATTAGAAAGAAGATTAATATCTTCACTATCTTATGTCAGGCCTTACAAGTTAAATGTTAGGAGTTTCTTCTTTTTCTGCCTAAAACTTGAATGCCAGAATGAGCTGAGTTACAATGCAGCCCGGAAAACTGATCACTGGATAAAGTATGGTCTCTGGATCTTGTTACTGGGTATTAAAGTTCTTTGGCAAATGCCTTCGTTATTTGTTTAATGACTAGAAAACAATTCAAGAAAAGTGACAACAAAGACAATAATTACAAAACAGGCTGATAACCTGGGTTAATTATGATTGCCAAATAGAGAAAAATTTTTTTTTAAGAAATGATGTGTTAATATCAATAGATACCAAGGATATAATCTGGTCCATTAAGGTCAAAGTGAAATTTAACTTACATAGTAAAATATCACTTTACAAGATAGTCAATTTGACCAGTTCATTGTGAAAAAGAGCATTATTCTCTTTCCTTTCTCACTTATGATCCAGACAAAACAAATATCTGATTTATCTAAACAAAATTTTTTTTTAAAAAATACAAAAGCTCTATCAGTTTTATATAACCTTAAAACTCTACCCAAACTGAGATGCTCAGGTTTACATAAATATATATACATATATATTTTTTAAATCCCAGAGTCCAAGACACAAGCCCATAGGGGTGTGTGGCCACCAGAAGCTGATCATTTTAACTCTGGGAGTGTGTGACTGTTGTGAGGTGTGCGGGTCTCTGACCTACGTTTATAGCTGTCAGCTTTGAACACCCTTCCCATGAGGAAATCTTGGCCTTTTGTTCAAAACGTCTGAACAAAACTCACCTCTGAACTAACAGAGATGTTAACAGGACACCTGACACAAAGGGGCTTAGAGAAACTTGTTCTCATATAGTCTCTCAGGCTGTCAGTCATCTAGGCACGAGTGAGTCAGCATCCATGGTGTTCAGAAGATAGAGTTCAGGCTGAGCTGTCAATCCCAGATGGTACTAAGGAAAAAAAAAAATGGAAGAGGATTAGACTGATTTTCATGTATTTACTGAAATCAGCAATTAAGTACCTGTAATTAGCACAGCAATTTAGGCCTTCTTTCCGTACTGCTATATTGATTTTTATTTCAGAAAGGACACGGCTTGCACATACATACATGAATCGTTTCTGATATGCAGAAGCTGATATGTAGGAGTTGAAATAGTTAGACTGAGATGGTGTCAAATGTCCTCAGCAAAATTAGCACTCTGATGATTCCTGTAACACACTCTACCTCAGGATGGGTGCTTCAAATCAGGATAAGAGCAAACATGAAGAATGCTTTTGTATTTTACTACTGTATGAGTTAGAAATCAAATTTCCAACCATCTCAATAATTCTGGCCCTATTATCCTTTGGCACTGGAGCAGAGAAAAGACTTTCATTTACAAAACAAAAACATGAAACAGCAGTTACTAAGAGAGAGAAAGATGACCTATGGGTCCCAAATGTTTGTCATGCTGCATCAGCATCACTGAAGCTGCTCTTAAAACACAACTCCAAGCTGGGTGTGGCAGCTCACGCCTGTAATCCCAGCACTTTGGGGGGCCAAGTTGAGTAGATCACAAATTCAGGAGATGGAAACCATCTTGGCCAACATGGTGAAGCCATCTCTACTTAAAATACAAAAAAATAGGCCAGGCATGGTGGCTCAAGCCTGTAATCCCAGCACTTTGGGAGGCCGAGGCAGGTGGATCACGAGGTCGAGAGATCGAGACCATCTTGGTCAACATGGTGAAACCCCGTCTCTACTAAAAATACAGAAAATTAGCTGGGCATGGTGGCACGTGCCTGTAATCCCAGCTACTCAGGAGGCTGAGGCAGGAGAATTGCTTGAACCCAGGAGGCAGAAGTTGTGGTGAGCCGAGATTGCGCCATTGCTTTCCAGCCTGGGTAACAAGAGCGAAACTCTGTCTCAAAAAAAAAAAATACAAAAAAAATAGCTGAGTGTGGCAGCTCGCGCCTGTAATCCCAGGTACTCAGGAGGCTGAGGCAGGAGAATCGCTTGAACCCAGGAGGTGGAGATTGCAGTGAGCCAAGATAGTGTCACTGCACTCCAGCCTAGCAAAAGAGACTCCGTTTCAAAAAACAAAACAAAAAGAAACACAATGCCAGCTGGGCATGATGGCTCATGCCTGTAATCCCAGCACTGTGGGAGGCCGAGGCGGGTGGATCACCTGAGGTCAGAAGTTCAAGACCAGTCTGGCCAACATGGTGAAACCCCACCTCTACTAAAAATACAAAAATTATTGGGGCATGGTGGCACATGCCTATAATCCCAGCTACTCTGGAGGCTGAGGCAGGAGAATCACTTGAACTCAGGAGGCAGAGGTTGCAGTGAGAGGAGATTGTGCCACTGCACTCCAGCCTGGGTGACAGAGCGAGACTCCATCTCAAAAAAAAAAAAAAAAAAAAAGGCCGGGCGCGGTGGCTCAAGCCTGTAATCCCAGCACTTTGGGAGGCCGAGGCTGGTGGATCACGAGGTCAACAGATCGAGACCATCCTGGTCAACACGGTGAAACCCCGTCTCTACTAAAAATACAAAAAATTAGCTGGGCATGGTGGCGCGTGCCTATAATCCCAGCTACTCAGGAGGCTGAGGCAGGAGAATTGCCTGAACTCAGGAGGCGGAGGTTGCGGTGAGCCGAGATCGCGCCATTGCACTCCAGCCTGGGTAACAAGAGCGAAACTCCATCTCAAAAAAAAAAAAAAAAAAAAAAAAAAAAATTAGCTGGACATGGTGGTGCGTGCCTGTAATCCCAGCTACTCAGGAGGCTGAGGGAGGAGAATTGCCTGAACCCGGGAGGCGGAGGTTGCGGTGAGCCAAGATCGTGCCATTGCACTCCAGCCTGGGTAACAAGAGCGAAACTCCGCCTCAAAAAAAAAAAAAAAACCCAAAAAACAAAAAAACACACACAATTCCAGACTCCACTCCTAAAGAACTGAGTCTAGATGGTTTGTGTTGGGACCTGTAAAGTTATTATTATTTTTGTAGAGAGTGGGTCTCACTATGTTGCCCATGCTGGAGTGCTAATGACAAAATCTTGGCTCACTGCATGGAACCTCTGCCTCCTGGGCTTCAGCCATCCTCCCATCTCAGCCTCTCAAGCAGCTGGGACAACAGGTGTGTGCCACCATACACTAAGCTAATTTTTTTGTAGACAGGGTTTTGCCATGTTTCCCAGGCTGGCTGTGAAGTTACTTTTACTTTTTCTCTTCCTCAAATACAGCTTGGGACAACTTTGAGTCTCATTTTAGCCCTACTATTACTACTTAGACCTTTTATGATTTTTTTTTTTTTTTTTTTTTTTTGAGACGGAGTTTCGCTCTTGTTACCCAGGCTGGAGTGCAATGGCGCGATCTCGGCTCACCGCAACCTCCGCCTCCTGGGTTCAGGCAATTCTCCTCCCTCAGCCTCCTGAGTAGCTGGGATTACAGGCACGCACCACCATGCCCAGCTATTTTTTTTGTATTTTTAGTAGAGACGGGGTTTCACCATGTTGACCAAGATGGTCTCGATCTCTTGACCTTGTGATCCACCCGCCTCGGCCTCCCAAAGTGCTGGGATTACAGGCTTGAGCCACCGCGCCCGGCCGACCTTTTATGATTTATTATCCCATGGCACCAACAGCCTGCAAGTTAATGCAGAATGCAGACTATAAATTTATTGGCAGCAATTATCCTATTTTAGTATAATGGAAAGGCACTGGAGTTGAGTTCAAGCCCTTAACTCTACCACTTGCTATGGCCTTCAGCATGTCACATACTTTTGGAGCCTTATTCTACTTACTTGTAAAATGTGAAGAAATGCTACATTTGAAAATGCCAAGTACAGCCAGGCACAGTGGCTCACACCTGTAATCCCAGCACTTTGTGAGGCTTAGGTGGGCAGATCACGAGGTTAGGCGTTCGAGATCAGCCTGGCCAACATGGTGAAACTCCATCTCCAAAAATACAAAGCTGGGTGCAATGGTGTGTGCCTGTAGTCCCAGCTACTCATGAGGCTGAGGTAGGAGACTCACTTGAACCCAGGAAGTGGAGGTTGCAGTGAGCCGAGATCACACCACTGCACTCCAGCCTGGGCAACAGAGAGAAAATCTGTCTCAAAAAAAAAAAAAAAAAAAAAATCAGCCAGGTGTGGTGGTGGGCACCTGTAATCCCAACTACGCAGGAGGCTGGGGCAGAATTACTTGAACCTGGGAGGTGGAGATGGCACTGAACTGAGATGGCACCACTGCAATCCAGCCTGGGCGACAAAGCTAGACTTCATTTCAAAAAAAAAAAAAAAAGGAAATGCCAAGTACACTAATATACTATCTCATGTTAATCTTCAACAGATATATTTAACACATTACAAACTGCCTTGTATAACCGCACAGGCTTGTGATGACTGTGTGAAGATTAGACCAAATGGTACCCAAGATAAAACTATTCCCAACTAGTGGGCTAAGAAAACACTGTATGACAGTGGCTTTAGGGCATGGAAACAGCTCTTGACTTAATTCAGGCTTAAGTAAATAACAGCAATTCAATATACTGACAATTCATTGAGGCCTTTTCCCAAGTGAGCAACTGTGGTAGACTTCAATATATAGTAAACAAGGGTTGCAGTATGAGTCCTGTGAGGCCCACAGAGTGTCACTTAGATGACTTAGTTGATAGACCTCCTTCAATTGAGATGTTTGTTGTTGTTCTGAGACATTGAGAAATGAGACTAAATGGCATGGGAATGGGCCAAAATACTTCCAGGGGCAGAGAGCTAATTCAAAGGAGTGAACTAGTAATTCTTGGCTATTGCTAGGATAGGACCATAGAGGGCTCTGTCCACCCTCTATACTTGGCAAAAGCAATCTTATGTTTAAAACTTCTTTTAAAACTTCTACACAGGGGCCAAAATCTGCCAGTTAGCAACTTCTGGCTAAGGCATATTCTAGCACTAATCAGAGTATGAAACAAATGCTTCAATGTGTTATGTTCCTTGTGTTGCTAAACAACACAACATGAAAGGTATACTATGTATTACACAGGATAGTTTGGGAATGAAAACATGGGTTCTGGAGTTAAGCTACGTGAGTTCAATGCCAATTGTGCGTTTCTTTAATAATGTAAATGTGGGCAAGCTACTTTTGGCCTTCTACTTGACTCATCTACATAGGGGCTGATCCTTTTGTTACAAATTAAATGAGATAATACAAGCGTTCAGGACAGGACTAGAACACGATAATGAGTTAGCCAGTTTTACATTCATAAGCTAAGGGGCTGAGAGCAGCTGACACGTTTAGATTCGTTGGTCCTACCAATGAAGGAACAGAAGTTATTCAGAGGGAAGAGCTAAAAGAAATGTTTCAAAACAGGATCCTCACATTGTTTTACATCCTATTTTAGTTCTGAAATTAAATTAAGGAAAGAGCACTAAATGAGGAAGGACAACACGGAGAACAAAATTTTCCCTAGATGACTTCCACTGTTACTTACAGGGAAGGCTTGCAACAGAGAAAGGAAAAATGAAGTTCTGGTGACACTCCTGGGACAAATCAAGTGCTGACTCAGGTTTTCCTGTCATGTGTCTAGTAATAGGGCTAGTAGTTCACTGTGCTTGAGCTCTGCCTTTGTTTTTAAATGGTGCCAATATTTCCATTTACATCAGGTCTGCCAAAATGCTCATTGATCTTTAAGCTAAACAAGTTTGGTTTCTCTTAAATATTCATTTTCACTGGCAGCACATAAGGAATGTAAAAGTGAAATAGTGAAGTAAACTACACATAGAAAATACTCAGCTTAGAGAAAAGCAGAATAAAATTTTCTTCCCCCAGTTTAAACATGGTAATGATGTGACCCTTTAGGTACGGTAAAACTAACTAAGTGAGAAAATGAAAATTAATGTCCTGGTAACTGCAATTAATCCAAGCCTTCTGAGGACCAAATCCATTTATTGCTCTATCCTTTCTAAGAAAATCCTAACAGTGTGGGCTTAGTGTGTCATTCTCGGTGATAGCTACTGTTGCAGTATTTTTGTATCAAAGTTGTTGAAACCCTATTAATAAATTATTTCAAGGTTTAAAAAATACCCAGGAAACCAAATTGGAAAAAGAAAAAAAATTTTAATTAGAAACTGAGTTTACATATGGTTAAATGGTTACTAAAAGCTCAGTTGTAATCACTCCTAATACCACTAGCAGGACCTCAAGGGAGCCAAGAGCTCTTCCCTTTTCCCCTGTTAATTTCCAATATATTGTAGCCGCACAATTATTTCATGTCACATTTAAGGAGAACAAGGACCAATTTATATAAAGTGCAACTGTATATCCTTAAACATTCCACATAAACACACTGCCAAAACTCACTGCATATGCTGGCATTGGAAGACTTAAATTTCTACATATTGTTTATTGTACCCAGAGTGCTGGTTAAAATACATTTTCTCTCTGTGAGGATCAAATGCAATAAGATATGAGAATATTTTTAACACGGTGAAGTACACACATGATATTATAAAATACCATTTAATTGGGAAGAATTTTTCCATCATTTCAAGTCATAAATATAACTTTTTTTTTTTTTTTGAGACGGAGTTTCACTCTTGTTACCCAGGCTGGAGTGCAATGGCGCGATCTCGGCTCACTGCAACCTCCGCCTCCTGGATTCAGGCAATTCTCCTGCCTCTGCCTCCTGAGTAGGTGGGAGTACAGGCACACACCACCACGCCCAGCTAATTTTTTGTATTTTTAGTAGAGATGGGGTTTCACCACGTTGACCAGGATGGTCTCGATCTCTTGACCTCGTGATCCACCTGCCTCGGCCTCCCAAAGTGCTGGGATTACAGGCGTGAGCCACCGCGCCCAGCTAAATATAACTTTTAAAAGAATACTAGCAGATTTTACCTAGGCTCCTAAATGCTTTTGAATCTGAGACTGACTGGACCACCCAGACCCAGAGCAAAGGTAAATGTTACCATATCATCTTTATAAATAATCTTTTTTTGTCAATTTGGCCTTTCCTACTGCAGCCAGGTGAGAGCTTAAGATGTCAGTCCCCAGTATCTTCACAGAGTGCCTTTATGAGCAGTTTGGGGAATGATGATGGTAAGGGAAAGAGGCAGATATGAGGAATAGTTAGGGGAAGTGTCATTCACGATTCTGTGCTTGAGGGACTAAGCACATTCATGACTCTGTACTTGAGGGACTAAGAAAAATTTATGCTCAGTGGAACACAGTAGTATACCCTTAAATGCCTTATAAAAGACCATCCATCCAGTATGCGCTTTTGACTGTGTGCAGTAATAATGCTTTTGGGGACTCAGATGAACAGAAAACACCAATTAACAAGGACTCTGAAAGGAAAGCTCCAAAAATGAGAAGTCTTTCAATGCCATTCCCATTACTGTTCTCACCAAGTCAATGGCTATAAAACACTTTTGATTATTTATCTCCATCAAAGTAATCTGATTTGAGATAATCACACAATCTCAGACTCCACATGTAAAAATGTCAGAAGTGGCTGAAGAAAGAGCAGCAGCTTCATGCTGAAGACACCCATTTCCTCTGACTCCAGAGCTCCACCATCTGGTCTCAAGATTTTTCCCTCTGAGGAAATAGCTGTAGAGGTAGCCCAGTTCAACCTTGCTCAGACAGTGAACTTTGCAACCATACTGACACCTACAGACTTGCTGAGAATGCTGAGGAAGTGTGCTTTGCAATGGTTAAGTCCACAGCTCCTGAGATTGCCTTGCAAGTCATCTTGGGCATGAAGTAGAGTGGTACATCAGAAAAACATGACGATTCTGGTAAGAGGTGGCTTTTAGGAACAAAACAGATGGCTCTCCTTCCTCCTTAAAGTCTTTTCTCCCCACCCTCAACATTTCATGAGAACATCAGTTCATAAATATTACCATCTTTTAATATTACCACGCTCCTGGAGAAGGAAAATGAAGGTTTTACAACTACATGTGCTCAAGAGTAAGTATCATCAGGAAAGCTCTGTACCAACAGGCAGGTTATTAAGACTCCCAAGAAATCCTCATAAGCTTTTCAATCTCTGAAGAAAATCCTGAGAAGATCATTAGCAAGCACTACCTACAGATGAGTTTTGCTAGTTGCCAGTTTTTCACCTCCTTGTTTTCTCACTCCTCTTAAATTCCATTGAGAAATTGAAGTGGAAATAAGTTCAAAGAATCCTAAGCCTTACAGAGCTAGGTGTCTCTTAATTTTATATTTCATACAGATGAAGCTATTCTAGTCACAGATTTTGCATAATTAAAATAATTGAAAAGATACATATAAGGAAAAATTCTCAGCCTTTAAAAATCCATTACATCTTGATAAATAAAAACTGCATACCCATTCTGTAGTTTGTATAATAAAAAATGCATTGTGTTTTCCAAATTTTGTTAACATCTAGCCTGGTTAAGAATCATGCATATTCTTGTCTCTCAGAAGGATAAACTGAGCTGGCCCTTGGGCAACTACTTCAGAGTTTAGTGTTGGAATGAGAGCAGCAAATGTCAGTGTTTCAAAGATCCCACCCTAATCCAGTTCCCAGGTTAGGAGATCAGAAAGAAAAAACTAATTCCATCTTTCAAACATATATGAAGCAAAGTCTTTCCCAACCAACAGTTGAGTTGTAAATGCAGTCTGTGCAACAGCACATACTTTTGGCTATGTTCACACAGTAAACCATAGAAACACACTGGCTCTGATGGCTACCTGCAGAAGACAGACTTATCCAGTGTTATTTAGTGTAGCCACCAGTGGCTTCTTCTGTCAGCAGGCTTTTAGAGATGCTTACCGTATGCCCGCAGTCCAGGAAGGACATGCCCAGTGCAATCAAACATTGCCAACCCTGAAAGACAAAATACGGTCATCATTCACCAGGCTCTTTGAAGAGCCAGGACTGCTCACACAGCACTTCTCAAATGCAAATCTGCTCCCTTCCTTGAACATCCAGCTGTGCCCATCTTCTACTACCAAGGGTTGCACAAGTCATTCTCTCAACCCCACTCCCCCTTCAAAAAATCATCTGCCTCCCTCAACAAAATTTGTCCATCCATTTTCAATACTGAATTTCTCTGTTCTTACTGCTTTGTGTCTGTAGGTTTTCTTTCTTTTTTTTTTTTTTTAATAATCTTTGTTGTTGTTGTTTTTTTACTTTTTAGAGACAAGGTCTCCCTGATCGCTCAGGCTGGAGTATACTGGTGCAACCATAGCTCACTGAAGCCTTGAATTCCTGGGCTCCTCCCTCCTCAGCAATCCTCCCTCCTCAGCCTCCTGAATTGCCAAGATTATAGGCGCACACCACCATGCCCAGCTAATTTAATTTTTTTTGTAGAGACCTGATCTTGCTATATTGCCCAGGCTGGTCTCACACTCCTAATCTCAAGTAATCCTCCTGACTCAGTCTCCAAAAGCACTGAGATTACAAGCATGAGCCACCTCGTCCAGCCTGTAGTTTGTTTCTTTTATCCAACTGTGAATTCCCTGAAATGCACCTTTCCTCAGTCCTCCCCATGATGAGAATGACTAACAAACTAATACAGTTGGTGTAGTCTCCTAAACTGCTCTATGAAGTTCCTGTTAAACAGCAGTAACCCACTCTAGAATCAGCCCTCACCTCTAAAAATGGGTCTTCAGGCCAGATGCAGTGGCTCACTCCTTGTAATCCCAGCACTACGGGAGGCTGAGGTGGGTGGATCATCTGATGTCAGGAGTTTGAGACCAGCCTGGCCAATATGGTGAAACCCCATCTCTACTAAAAATACAAAAATCAGCTGGGCATGGTAGCATGTGCATGCAGTCCTAGCTACTCAGGAGGCTGAGGTAGGAGAATTGCTTGAACCCAGGAGGCAGAGGCTACAGTGAGCTAAGATCGTGCCACTGCACTCCAGCCTGGGAAACAGAGCAAAACTGTCTCAAAAATAATAATAATAAAAATGGGTCAACAAGCTCACTAGCCTTAGGCTGAATGAGGATAAATTGGCACCTTCATATCCAATTGGCATTATGAAAGGATCCCCCTAATCTAAAAACAACTCCTGTCAAGGACATACTCAGTTACTTGGTTTTCCTTGAAGTTAAAGTTCCTAAATCATAGGGTCAGTACGGTCTTTTTGTGCCCAAAGTTTACTGGGAAGAAAAAAAGAGATACATCAATCTAGGAAATAATTTTTCAACATCTACTGAAGTGATTTTCTCAATAAAGTATCTAATGTGTGGCACACCGGCATGGGGAAGTGTACTAGAGATCAACAGCAGGTTTCCAGCCTCCATCTTCAGCCATTCTCTGCAGCAAAAATGGCATAAAATCTACTATTCATTATCCCCAACCCCTGTGTTTTTTTTTTCAGAGAAACCTCTATAAACAGGGAAATGGATCTGATGTTATTTTGGTTGTTTTCATTAATATAAGCAATGTTAAAGAAGATTTGGAAAATAGAGAATAATATATCTATAATCCTACCTTCCTAAAATAATTATATTGTTAAAATGGTGAGAGAAGGTATGCAAGGATTTTTGTTGTTGGTTTTCTGTTAAAACAGTGCCTAAAACAATTATATTACAATTTTTATATAATTTATCCTACACTTTAAATAAATTTTTTATAATTGGAATATAAATTGTACATACCTTTTTCATGTAGCTATGGTTTTATAACCATGATTTTTTTAAAAATGACTTTAGAATGAGAGTTAAGGGGAGACTATCACTGTTTACTTATTTCCTTGGACAGCCAGTAAGTGATGGAGCTGCGTAGGCCGTACGCCTGCATATGTCCCATCAAAATCTCTATATTATACTGTGTGCCCCAATCTCCAACTCTGTCTTGTACCGTTCTCCACTGTCTGTACTGCTACCCTTCTTTTAGTTCCTCAAACATACTATACTCTCTTGTTAGGAATTGTTAAGAATGGAAACTACAGAAGTGACAGAAAAACGACAAATCGAAGTAACCAAAGTGAATTTTATGGTTAGAAATATTATTTTGTGGCCGGGCGCGGTGGCTCAAGCCTGTAATCCCAGCATTTTGGGAGTCCGAGGCGGGTGGATCACGAGGTCAAGAGATCGAGACCATCCTGGTCAACATGGTGAAACCCCGTCTCTACTAAAAATACAAAAAAGTAGCTGGGCATGGTGGCACATGCCTGTAATACGAGCTACTCAGGAGGCTGAGGCAGGAGAATTGCCCGAACCCAGGAGGCGGAGGTTGTGGTGAGCCAAGATCGTGCCATTGCACTCCAGCCTGGGTAACAAGAGCGAAACTCCGTCTCAAAAAAAAAAAAAAAAAAAGGAAATATTATTTTGTAAACGGCTGATTTGACAATTCCATATAAATTGTCTCGATAACCTGGAGGTAGATTGTCACATGCTCTTTTGGGTCTGGTCACTTCTTTTTTTTTTTTTTTTTTTTTTTTTTTGTAGAGATGGGGTCTTACTATGTTGCCCAGATTGTGTCTAATTCCTGGACTCAATCAATCCTCCCACCTTAGCTTTCCAAAGTACTGGGATTATAGGCATGAGCCACTGTGCCCAGACTGGGTCTATTCATTTCTGAATGCCAGTGAACCCCACCTCTACCATCCCTGGTACCTATCCCCTGCTTTTCCAGATGGGACTTACCAAGTAGAACACAAAGCCCAGATAAGCCACGCTGACCACACCAGCCACCACATATAACACCACATGCCCTAGTTCCTGAACATAAACCAATACAAAGTACATATTGATGGAACAGATGATAAGGACCAAGATTCCTCCTGCAATCCGCCAGCCTCTGTAAAAGAAATCAGCACAGTCACTGGTGAAATAACCCAAGGTGGCCACAGACAGAAATGCAAACTGCATCCTGTGAGGTAAACAGGACAAGAATTAAAGGCAGTTCAAAATTAACAGAAAAATTGTTCTTAATTTTAAAAAATGATTCTTCATAAGTCTAAGTTAAATCAGCCAAAATTAGATACTGATAGAGAGAAAGCAGAGGAAGACACCATTAAATAATCCCTAATATTTAAGTCCCTAGAGATCCAACAAGGCCTAGAAATGCAACAAGTCACTTCAGATACCTCATATCCTTTAAAAGTATATATAAAAGGTACTAACTTATGCCTTTCTTATTAAGATCATTTAACAAAGAACTAAGGTGCCTCAAACTTCAGTGGCTGAAGCTGAAGAGTTATGCCATAAAAACAGGTTTTTCCCCCCTCCAAATGAAAGATGTGCTTTCTCTTCCTTTAATATATTCACAGTTTCCATTCTCTAAGCCAAAAAAGAAGCAGCTAGCAATCATCTCTCAAAGCATATCGTTTCCCTCTGTCTCATGTCTGACTGGCCTACTGCATGAAGACACCCTTTCCCCATATCAGCTTCCCCTGTGGGAACTAAGAGGAGTACACTCACAGTCCATTGGCAAAGTCACTCATTACTGGCCGCAAGCTTGTAAATGTGAGGATGGGTATGAGAGCAAAGGGGAGCTGGAAAACAAAGATCAGATAGGATTACTATGGGTCCTTGTATCACCCCAGAGAACAGAACAATGAATGAAAGGGAAACATAAGTGCTGCCTCAACTTCTACTTGAGAAATGATTCCTCTCCCTGCAAAACACCCAGAATTCTGCTGAATTCTGTAGAGGTGTCATTAACCTAGTATGCAAACCTTTCTATGGGACTTGTCTCCTTAACCTCCACAGGACCTGGTACAGTGTCCTACATGTTCATTTAATGTTTACTTGCATTAATGAACTATAATTTTGTGTTCTCTATATAAGTAAAGCTCATAGTTCCCATTCAACAGGTTCAAAAACCAAACCATTTCTAAAATCCTTTTAGATGGCAAGGATTTCATATATATTTACTGCAGATCACAATCACGCCTCTGTCTTCCTCTCAATATCCCCCCAGCACCCAGCCAGGCTTTGTACCCAAGGGCTGTACATAATGCTGCCTGAATAACTAGGATATGAGTTTCCCCAGCTTCCTCCTCACCTGTAAGCTCTGTAGAACATTCAGGAAGTCATTCATCCCTGTTAGACTCTCTACATTTTGGAAGACAGAAACAAGCAGAGTGGGGATAATGGCAATAGAGCGAGTCAGAACCACTCGGGCAAAGCGTGACCACTTTAGGTTCAGGAATCCCTGGAAGAAAACATAGGTAACAGGAAACAGAAAAAAATCTAGGGTAGGTTCAGGACAGAACTCAAAAGAACGAGATTAAGAAGTGACAAAAGGGGCCAGGCACAGTGGCTCACACCTGTAATCCCAGCACTTTGAGAGGCTGAGGCGGGCACATCACCTGAGGTCAGCAGTTCGAGACCAGCCTAGCCAACATGGTGAAACCCTATCTCAACTAAAAATACAAAAATTAGCCAGGTGTGGTAGCGGGAGCCTGTAATCATAGCAACTCAGGAGGCTGAGGCAGGAGAATCGCTTCAACCCAGGAGGTGAAGGTTGCAGAGCCGAGATCGCACCATTGCACTTTAGCGTGGGCAACAAGAAGAATCCATCTCAAAAAAAAACAAAAAACAAAACAAAAAAAAAAACGAAGTAACAAAAGGGTTGTGTCATCTCCCTCTATTCTATACTAGCACATACCTCCATGACAAACTGGCCAGAATAGGTTCCTGTCATGGTGGAGCTCTGTCCTGCAGCCAGGATCCCCACTGCCCAAATGTAGAGTGCAGCAGGCCCAAAGTAACATCCCAGCACAACACCCTGTGAGAGGCAAAAAGTAAGGATATGATTGTATCAATAATCTGCTCAGACAACATTCAAAATAGCAGTTCCCTGTGGCATTTCTCCCTTCTTCTTTGCTATGCACCACCCATGCCAAGTGCTGTGCTGGGCACTGTCCTAGAAGCTAGGCTCAAGTCCTGACCTCATTCTAGAAGCTTTCAATCTAAACTTTACTGAATGCTCCTTCATTTCTCTGCCTAGTCCTTTCTCTTCTCCAAGCTCCTAAACCTCCATCTTAAGTTGTTTTTTTTTTTTTAAAAAAAAAGGCCAGGCATGGTGGCTCATGCCTCTAATTCCAGCACTTTGGGAGGCCGAGGCAGGCAGATCACGAGGTCAGGAGTTCAAGACCAGCCTGACCAATATGGTGAAACCCCATCTCTACTAAAAATGCAAAAATTAGCCTGGTGTGGTGGCGCATGCCTGTAGTCCCACCTACTCGGGAGGCTGAGGCAGGAGAATCGCTTGAACTCGGGAGGCGGAGTTGGAGTTGAGATCACGCCACTGCACTCCAGCCTGGGAGACAGGGCAAGACTCCATTTCAAAAAAAAAAAAAAAAAAAAAAAAAGACGTCTACACCAAATTCCCCAAATTACATTCCTTTATACACTATTCCGGAAAATGGCAACAGAAATACAGGGAAATATCAAAGAAATCTGGGAAATGATATACATTATACATTCTACTTTTGGAGAATCATAGTGTAACCATCTTAAAAGGACTGAGAGACTCCAGTAAAGACACTTTACTAAGAACACTTTCTTGGGGCTAGGTGTGGTGGTTCACACTTGTAATCCCAGCACTTTGGGAGGCCAAGAGAGGAGAATCACTTGAGCCCACGAGTTCGAGGCCAGCCTGAGCAACATGGCAAAAACCCTGACTCTACAAAACAAAAATACAAGGCCAGGCACGGTGGCTCACACACTTTGGTAGGCGGAGGCGGGTGGATCACCTGAGGTTGGCAGTTTGAGATCAGCCTGACCAACACGGAGAAATCTCATCTCTGCTAAAAATACAAAATTAGCTGGGCATGGTGGCACATGCCTATAATCCCAGCTACTTGGGAAGACGAGGCAGAATTGCCTGAACCCAGGAGGTGGAGGTTGTGGTGAGCCGAGATCATACTACTGTATTCCAACCTGGGCAACAAGAGCGAAACTCTGTCTCAGATAAAAAAGAGAAAATACAAAAAATTAGCTGGGTGTGGTGGTGCTTGCCTGCAGTCCCACGACCTGGAAAGCTGAGATGGGAAAATCACTGGAGTCAGGTAGGTGGAGGCTGCAGGGAGCCATGATCAAGCCACTGCACCCCAACCTGGGCAACAGAGCAAGATTCCGCCTCCAAAGAAAAAAAAAACGAAGTGCTAGTGTGTATACTGAATCTTTTTTAAGACAGAGTATCACTCTGTCACCCAGGCTGGAGTGCAGTGGTCTAATCTCGGCTCACTGCAACCTCTGCCTCCCTAGTTCAAGCAATTCTCCTGCCTCAGTCTCCTAAGTAGCTGAGATTACAGGTGCCCACCACCATACCCAGCTAATTTTTGTATATATTTTTTTTAGTAGAGATGCGGTTTCACCATGTTGGCCAGGCTGGTCTTGAACTCCTAGGCTCCAGTGATCTGCCCATCTTGGCTTCCAAAGTGCTGGGATTACAGGTGTCAGCCACCATTCCCGGCCTGTATAATGCATCTTTTCAACTGATCCTCGCTTATTTCTTCTCATTTAATCCAAAATGCTTGTCTGGTGTCTGGAGCTCTGAAATAAATGACACTCAGAGTAGATATGCTCAGATCTGAAGTGAACTCACAAAAAAGACCAGATACTATGCTAAAAATATTGATTCAGGAACAAAGATCATAAATCCGAACATGCTTACCCCTTTGTAGATGTCCACAGCCAGTGTCGAGTTATCGTTAGGAAAGAGGCCAGCATGAGGACTGCTGCTATTTGTACATACTTCAACCTAGAACCCAAAGCAGTTCAAGAGCAACTTTTGTTTCAGAAGCAAGGATCAAATAAGAGCTCTCCTACATATCATACAGTGATCTATGAGAGTTAGGCTGGAGGGAAAACAATGGATGTATGCTGTGATGTGGGCAGAGACTGGCAGCAATGTCATCTAGGATCTTCCTCTATAATCCTTCTACACCCACAGCTCATCACAGGTCATCAAAAATCTTTACTGAGTTACAGTGTGCATGGTAATAATGTACAAACAATGGGGTACTTCAAATGATGACAGGAGGAGAGGCTCTGAAGAAGGCTTCAGACACGAAAGAACACCCAGCATAGAATCCTTAGTCAAAGCAGACAGGAATCAGAGGTTCCACAGCTGGGAAACAGTGATCGAAACTACATAGGCAGGCCAGGCATGGTGGCTCATGCCTGTAATGCCTATACTTTGGGAGGCTGAGGAGGGAGGTTCACTTGAGGTCAGGAGTTTGAGACCAGCCTGGCCAACATGGTGAAACCTCATCTCTACTAAACATACAAAAAAATTAGCTGGGCGTGGTAGCAGGCACCTGTAATCCCAGCTATTCAGAAGGCTGAGGCAGGAGAATTGCTTGAACCCAGGAGGCAGAGGTTGCAATGAGCCAAGATCATACCACTGTGCTCCAGCCTGGACAATAGTGCAAGACTCCATCTCAAAAAAAAAGAAAAAAAACTACATAGGTAATCAGAAATCAAGATGATACAGAATTCAAAATGACAAGACAAAGTCTGTTCTCATCACAGTTCCTGTTTCATATTTGTTGACTACTCCCAATCAAAATCTGAGAAAGACGGTGCAAGTTTGGTCAGCCCCATACTGTAGACTCTGACTGGTGCACGGTAATTTTAGGGGGCAGAGATGAGACTACAGATTATTTATCCTGACCATTAATACTAGAATGGGGTATTTTCCTTCCCCATCCCATTGCAGTCTTCACTTTACCCTCATATTCACTACCACCCATAACCCTGGCTTACTCACCACCTGCTCGTTGGTTTTCCCAAAAAATGCTTCAGCAAAGACTGAGACAACAAAGACGTTGATGATGAAGGAAACAAAGAGAGCAATGCAGGATTCAATGAAAAAGTACTTATTGGCTTCTCGTATTTCCTGCTTATTGCTCCGGTTTATCTGTCTAGACTAAAAAGATAACAACAGCAGTCATTTTTTTGACCAGTTAGAACAAGTTTCCTTACGACATTTAAGGAGTTCAGAGTCAGCTGAGCGATTTTAGAGGACAAACAGCTGACTAGACGAAATGTGAGCAATCCAACACTTGCCTACATCCTAGTTCACTGAGCAATTAAAAAATTCATATGGGAGAAAAAAAAGAACTTCATGCCCTTTTGTGGAATTGTACATTCCTCAAACAGGAAACAGAGACTAAATGACTACTGAGCTCTCAGTTACCGTGGCTGGAAGGACCACTGACCTACAAAAACAACCCGATTTCAGTCCTAAGGTGTGTATATCCCTAATATAAAGCTTTCTGAAATCCTCCCAGCAAACTATTACATAATACTGACTGGTAAAAGTCTGTTTGGTCTCCTTTACTCCTGACCTCCATAAGACCACTCAGGCTTTTGAAATTTAAACACAAGGGTCTTGATGTACTTCGGACCTTTCATGAAGAACTTTAGTCCTGGCTGGGTGCAATAGCTAACACCTGTAATCCCAGCACTTTGGGAGACCAAGGCGTGTGGATCACCTGAGCTCAGGAGTTTGAGACCAGCCTGGCCAACATGGTGAAACCACATCTCTACTAAAAATAGAAAAATCAGCCAGGGTGGTGGCACACGCCTATAATCTCAGGTACTCGTGAGGCTGAGGCACGAAAATCACTTGAACCCAGCAGGCAGAGGTCTGCAGTGAGCCAAGATCTCGCTACTACAACCCAGCTTGGGCGACAGAGCGAGACTCCATCTCAATTAAAAAAAAAAAAAAGAAAGGCCGGGCGCGGTGGCTCAAGCCTGTAATCCCAGCACTTTGGGAGGCCGAGGCGGGTGGATCACGAGGTCAAGAGATCAAGACCATCCTGGTCAACATGGTGAAACCCTGTCTCTACTAAAAATACAAAATATTAGCTGGGCATGGTGGCACATGCCTGTAATCCCAGCTACTCAGGAGGTTGAGGTAGGAGAATTGCCCGAACCCAGGAGGCGGAGGTTGTGGTGAGCCGAGATTACGCCATTGCACTCCAGCCTGGGTAACAAGAGCAAAACTCCGTCTCAAAAAAAGAAAAAAGAAATTTAGTCCTACCTTCTCTATGTAGTTAGTAATATCTGGTCAATTTGGTGATAAAAACAGTGTCTAAGCATATGGAGTTTATTAATGTCCAGCCTTGGAAAGTTCCTTGCTCCTCATGGTCCTAACAACTGTAAACTAACTTTGCGTCCCTTGCAATTGAAGGAAAAGATCCCATGAACTGTCTAGGAGGTGAAGGAGATAAGGGCCTTGCTCACCTTGACTAAGGCAGAATGCAGGTACATGTTGTGTGGCATGATGACAGCTCCCACGATGCCCACAGCCTGTTCAATCTGTGGAGTGCGACAGCCTGAACAGGATGGTACGAACATGCCCTTGAGTACCTGGCTCTGGCTGGGTTTCACTGTAACATACTACATAGCAACATAACAATGATTAGCCTTTATGGGAACACGAAACAGGGGAGTAATGTAGTACTAGGGAACACTTAGCATCCTTTACCCCTTACAATCCCTTCTTCTTTATTCATTTTTATAGTTTTTGAGAGAAAATCTTGCTCTGTCACCCAGGCTGGATGGCAGTGGCGTGATCACAGCTCATTGAAACCTTGATCTCCCAAGCTCAAGCAATCCTCTCACCTCAGCCAGCCAAAGGGCTAGGACAGGCCACCACACCTGGCCACAACCTTTTCTTCTGCAACTACCTAGGGTAACGAGGAATACAGAATCATCACAGGACCAAGCAACATAAGGGGCTTACTGTTAGGGGCCAGAGAATTCAAGACTGAGTATCCAGATAGTTTACATCGTATTTTAGATATACGAAACAGATATGTATAATACGTACTTAATATTCTAAAGAAAGGGCTGGGGGTGGCGGCTCATGCCTATAATCCCAGCACTTTGGGAGACCAAGGCCGATTGATTGCTTGGGCCCAGGAGTTCAAGAGCACCTGGGCAACATGATGAAACCCTCTCTCTAAAAAAATACAAAAATTAGCTCAGTGTGGTGGTGTGTACTTATATCCCAGCTACTAGGGATGCTGAGGTGGAAGGATTGCTTGAGCCCAGGAGGTGGAGGCTGCAATGAACTGAGATCATGCCACCCCAGCCTAGGCATGATCTTAAAAAAAAAAAAAAAAAAAAAAAAAAAAAAAAAAGCCAGGCACGGTGGCTCATGCCTATAATCCTAGCACTTTGGGAAGTCAAGGCAAGTGGATCACCTGAAGTCAGGAGTTCAAGATCAGCCCTACAAACATGGTGAAACCCCATCTCTAGGAAAAATACAAAACTTAGCCAGGCATGGCAGTGGGCACCTGTAATACCAATTACTTGGGAGTCTGAGGAAGGAGAATCACTTGAACCCGGGGGACAGATGTTACAGTGAGCCAAGATCACACCAGTGCACTCCAGCCTGGGCAAAAGAGAGAGACTCCATCTCAAAAAAAAAAGAAGCTGCTAAAAGACTTGTGGTTATTAGCTTCACAGTAATTCCTGTGAGACAGGCTCAAAAACGTAGAATAAGGGCCTGTAATCCCAGCACTTTGGGAGGACGAGACAGGCAGATTGCTTGAGGTCAGCAGTTCAAGACCAGCCCAGCCAACATAGTGAAACCCCGTCTCAACTAAAAATAGAAACAGTTAGCCAGGCATGGTGGTGCATGCCTATAATCGCAAATACTTGGGAGGCTGAGGCACAAAAGCCACTTGAACCCAGGAGGCAGAGGTTGCAGTGAGCCAAGATCGTACCACTGCACCCTAGCCTGGAAGACAGAAATGCTGTCTCAGAAAAAAATTAAAATCTAAAAAAAAAAAAAAGAATATAGAATCAACTTTTTATCCATACTCAACATGCTTCTGTTCATCTATGTTCATTTAAAAATCACCTGATGTTTGCCACTAGTACGTATGTAGTGACTCATTCTGAAATACTCTCATACATACTCTCCCCTGGTTCAGTACTTCTCTTGGAAGCCTTAGGCCAAGAGGCATAATCGACCCATAGATTAGATATATTTTTTAAAGTTCAGTCAGACCAGTAAGCAGAAATCAGTTTATAAGAACTGTACAAAGAAAGGTGCTAGTATTGCAAATAAGGTTAGTGACTCTGAGGAGTTTCTGGGTTGGGGCACAAACCAGGAAATATCCAGCATATCTCACATAATTCATTAACTGTTTTAATATTGAGAAAGTTCAAGCTGCAGTTAATATAAACTAGGACAAGCAAAAGCAGAACTCCTCTAAGTTAAGAGCCAAGAATAACCCTGCAACCCCTTCTTTAATTAACCCTCTCCATGGCTGTTCTGCTGTCAGATGGTCAACTTGGGATCAAGGAATGTAGTCTGGAAAGCCCTAAAATATCTACTCATTTTAAACCTGGGAGTTCCTACAGGCCTTTCTACACCCTAATCTTTGCTATGGATCATAATCCTTCAAAACTGGCCCACAGATAAATCAGCTTTTTGTTGATACACCCAGTATAACTGAACCATACTAGCATTATTACTGTCTTCTATAATAAAAAGCTAAACACACACACACACACACACACACACACACACACACACACACAGAAACTTGTTTTAAAAAACTAATGAATATCCTGTACTACTTGCCTCATATCCAAAAGTGAGTGCCATAATAGTGATGAGAAAGCCAAAAAATGCTTCTAGCTTCCGCAAGCCTAAAGGAAAAAAGACAGCAGCGAGCTCAGAGAAGGCAGACTTCCCCATCTGCCACATGATAGAGGGCAGCTCCTTTGCCTGAGCCTACCATTCCCACCCTCCTTACCGTATTTGTCCAAGAAGAGAAATACAAAAGTATCTGCAATAGTGATGAGGACGCCACCCCACAGAGGAATCCTAAGTCAGAGACAAGAAATGGAGGTCAGAGAGATAGAAAGAAAGGAAACATTGAAAAACACTATCTTCCCAACAGCTCCTCAGATAAAGAACACTTGGAGAAGCTAGGACTTGAGGGAGACACAATGGCAGAAAACCAGGCCTTGGGTAATGTCAGGTAACAGCACCAACTTAATTACATTCATTTAAACTTTGATTGAGAGTCTACTATGTCATACTTAGATACAAAGCTGAAAATTATGGGTCTTACCATCATGGAATTAGATGGACAGACAGAATTTGATAGGATTAAATGGATAGTATCTAGTGGGAGCCAGGCACAGTAACTCACACCTGTAATATCAGCACTTGGGGAGGCTGAGGCAGGTGTTCCTAGAACTGAGGTCAGGAGTTAGAGACCAGCCTAGCCAACATGATGAAACCCTCTATCTACTAGAAATACAAAAATTAGTTGGACAGGGTGACAGACGCCTGTAATCCCAGCTACTTGGGAGGCTGAGGCACAAGAATGGCTTGAATGGAGGAGGTGGAGCCAAGATCATACCACTGCACTCCAGCCTGGGTGACAGAGAAAGACTCCATCTCAAACAAAAAATAAAAATAAAAATAAAAATAAAGATAGTACCTAGTGGGATAAAATGACATGAAAATCAATAATTGTGATAAAAAACACCACACATTCTAATACAGGTAAGCACAGCCCATCATGGGAAATGGAAGATGTAGAGTCTACATCTACCAGGGGAGAAGAAATTGTTTCCAGAAAGGTTCCACAGAAGAAATAACAATTGAGTTGAATCTTCAAAATTAAAAATGAAAAAGTAAACAAAATTAAAAATGAACTGGGTTTTTATTTTTATCTTTTTGCTTTGAAATCCAGCAAAACATTGATTACTTTCTAAAGGAAAACCCCCTCACCTTCCTACAGACAGAAGATTGATGGCAATGGCTGAGCCAATGACTTCTTGCATATCTGAGCCAATGATAGCCAACTCCACCATCAGCCACAGGATGATTCGTGGGACCTAAACACCAAACAGTAGAAAGACACGGTTCTGATTAATCATTTCTAAAAATTTCCTCCATGGTTTGGAATTCACATTTTGCCACTAAAACATAAACAGTCCTTTAGAAGCATTCAGACCAGAGATTAAATACGAGAATGTGCCACCACTTAGCCGATCACTGAACTATGGCTCTCAGTTGGAGAAGGAAAAGTGTGCTACCATGTGGCAGAGCCTATGAACCAAGATCAAGGTCAAGGCAGTAACTGATCTTTTTTTTTTTTCCTTTCTACTTGAGAAGAATGTTATTTCCATTTACTAATTTCCACTTAATTTCCTGCCTAAAAACAATCCTAAAAGTGTTAGAGAATAAGGATGCTAATATGGTCAAAATATGGGTCAAGAAAGAATATTAAGTGATTGCAGAACAACACATCTATCCTGACCATAGCAAAGAAGACAAAACAAACACGAAAAAGTTGGGGTTGACCAAGCACAGTGGCTCACACCTATAATCCCAGCACTTTGGGATGCCAAGGTGGGCAGATCCCTTGACCCCAGGAGTTTGAGACAAGCCTGGGCAACATGGCAAAACCCCATCTCTATAAAAAGTACAAAAATTAGGAGCTAAATAATAACTTTTTTTTTTTTTGAGACAGAGTTTCTGTCACCCAGGCTGGAGTGCAGTGGTACTCGGCTCACTGCAACCTACACTTCCCAGGTTCAAGCAATTCTCGGCCTCAGCCTCCGGAGTAGCTGGGATTACAGGCATCTGCTACCACATCTGGCTAATTTTTTTTGTATTTTTAGTAGAGATGGCGTTTCACCATCTTAGCCAGGCTGGTCTTGAACTCCTGACCTCGTCACTCACCCGCCTCAGCTTCTCAAAGTGCTGGGATTACAGGCGTGAGCCACCATGCCTGGCCAATGATGAGAACTTACGAACACGCAGACAGAAACAACAGACACTGGGGTCTACTTGATGGGGGAGGGTGGAAGGAAAGAGAGGAGCAGAAAAGATAACCATTAGATACTGCACTTGAAATATGGGTGATGTAATAATATTTACAACAAACCCACATGACGTGTTTCTCTATGTAACAAACCTTCACATGTGGCTGCTCTGCCTATGGAATAGCCATTCTTTATTCCTTTACTTTCTTAATAAACTTGCTTTCACTTAAAAAGAAAAAAAACCTTCACATGAACACATCCCAAAATCTAAAATAAAAATTGAAGAAAGAAAAAAATTACAAAAATTATCCAGGCATGGTGACGTACACCTGTAGTTCCAGCTACTCGGGAGACTGAGGCAGGAAGACAGCTTAGCCCCAGTGGTCAAGGCTGCAGTGAGCTGTGATCATGCCACTGCACTCCAGACTGGGCAACAGACAGAATGACACTCTGTCTCAAACCACCATCACAAGAACAGAAAAGGTTGGGGTCACCTTTAATGTAATAATAATAACCAAGCAAATAAAAAAGAACAGATAAGCAAAAGGACTCAAGGAAGATAGTTGGAATTAGGTGGCATAAAACAAAGTCAGAAACTAATTCTAACCAAACAATACAGCTGAAAATCAAATTTAGTTATGCTGACTCACTGAAGCCAGAAAAAACACCTCCAGATAGCTAGTATCCAAAAAAATTTGTCAGGTCATCCATGGTAGCTCATGCCTATAATCCCTGAACTTTGGGAGGCAGAGGTGGGAGATCACTTGAGCCCAGGAGTTCAAGCCCAGCCTGGGCACCATGGTGAAGCCCTGTCTCTATAAAAAATTTTTTAAGGGCCGGGCGCGGTGGCTCAAGCCTGTAATCCCAGCACTTTGGGAGGCCGAGGCGGGTGGATCACGAGGTCAAGAGATCAAGACCATCCTGGTCAACATGGTGAAACCCCGTCTCTACTAAAAATACAAAAAATTAGCTGGGCATGGTGGCGCGTGCCTGTAATCCCAGCCACTCAGGAGGCTGAGGCAGGAGAATTGCCTGAAGCCAGGAGGCGGAGGTTGCGGTGAGCCAAGATCGCGCCATTGCACTCCAGCCTGGGTAACAAGAGTGAAACTCCGCCTCAAAAAAAAAAAAACAATTTTTTTTTAAATACCTGAGTATTGTGGTGCATGCCTGTGGTCCCAGCTACTCAAGAGACTAAGGTAGGAAAACTGCTTGAGCCTGGGAGGTCAAGGCTATTAGTGAGCCTACAGTAGCACGACTATGCCACTCCACTCTAGTCTAGGTAACAGAGCAAGACCCTATCTCAAAAACAAAAACAGGCCAGGCACAGTGTCACATCTGTAATCCTAGCACTCTGGGAGGCTGAGGCAGATGGATGCCTTGAGGTCTGGAGGTCAAAATCAGCCTGGCTAACGTGGCAAAACCCTGTCTCTACTTAAAATCATGTGATCCAGTGAGCCATGATCACATCACTGCACTCCACCATGGGTGACAGAGTAAGAGTCTGTCTCAAAAAAAAAAAGACAGGAAAAGAAGCTGGAAGGATTATAAATTGCCAAGTTTTTGTTTGCTTTTTAAAATGTTTGTGGGTAGATAGTAGGTATATGTATTTATGGGGCATATGGATATTTTGATACAGGCATAAAATGTGTAATAATCACATCAGAGGCCGGGCACGGTAGTCAGGTGTGGTAGTGTGTGTCTGTAATCCCAGCTACTCAGCAGGCTGAGGCAGGAGAACTGCTTGAACCCAGGAGGTGGAGGTTGCAGTGAGCCTGAGATCGAGCCACGGCACTCCAGGCTGGCTGACAGAGCAAGACTCCATCTCAAAAAATAAAATATTAAAATAAATAAAAATAAAAATTCACATCAGAGTAAATGGGGATATTACCAAGATTTTTTAATTTTTTTGAAAAGCAGATAAGGATACTTTTTGCTCACACCCAGGAAAAGAAACAAAACAAAAGACAAAGCTAAGTAAAAAATATCTTCTAGATATAGTGTTCATTCTTGCCTCAGGCAGCAGTAAGAAAGGCCCAAAATGTCCAAAAGGAAGCTGCAGAGGACAGTGTAGCCCCCAGGGGGAGGGAAAACTGAAAAATTATTATTAGCAAATCCAAAGATCCTGCCACATATAGTTCCTAGTAAAAGGAAAAAAACTTACCCTTTTCTTTTTCTTGAGACGGAGTTTCGCTCTTGTTACCCAGGCTGGAGTGCAATGGCGCCATCTCGGCTCACCGCAACCTCCGCCTCCTGGGTTCAGGCAATTCTCCTGCCTCAGCCTCCTGAGTAGCTGGGATTACAGGCACGCGCCACCATGCCCAGCTAATTTTTTGTATTTTTAGTAAAGACGGAGTTTCACCATGTTGACCAGGATGGTCTCGATCTCTTGACCTCATGATCCACCCGCCTTGGCCTCCCAAAGTACTGGGATTACAGGCTTGAGCCATCGTGCCCAGCCTAAAACTTACCTTTTTCAAAGTGATGGCAAAGTCAAACAAAAAAGAAGATACATAAAATGCAAACTTACGGAGTAAAATGAAGGTATGAATAAAAGTGCTTAGAGAGAGTATCCCCCTCCCCATGGGCTAGGCACTGCAAAATACTGGAAGGTAGAGTGAATGGTAAATGTTTACCTCAAACAGTTTTTCTAAGAAAACCTTCTAGGAAAGGGGAGTCTCAAGTTAGATTTTGAAGGAGGGGAAAAACATGGTCTGGCACCAGGAGGAGCTACAGTATTTCCCTTGGTACCATCTGTCTTCAGGGCCACTGACCCCCAAGTCCTTGACTGTCTCACTATAGAATGCAGCCAAGCACATACTGCCAGACACACAGATTCCTACAGCATGGGTGAGAGACAAACAAGACAGGAAATTGCTCACCTTGGGATACTGACGGTGACATACTTCAGCAAGATGCAGCCCAGTGACCACTCCCAGTCTAGCTGCAAGCCGCTGGAGCAACAGCCCCACAAGGGTGGCCAACAAAAGGATCCAGAGCAACTAAGAAGAACAAAATCTCCTGTAACACTCATTGGATGACTGAGATTTTTTTTGTTTAATTGTTTGGCAACATGAGTGGTAAATACTGCATTCAGAAAAGAGCCCAGGTCAAGAATCAAATGATGAGTTCTATATCAGGTTTTGCACATGACCTGCTAGGTCACCTTGTTCCTTTCTGAGCCTCAGTTTCTCCTATATGCAGTTTCTCCTATGTTCAAGGAAACTATGTAGATAAAATAAAAGACCAAGTTGAAATTACTTTACGCATAAGAGCCACTGCCAATGAAGTATTTGTATGTAGCCCCTGAGGCTAGTATCCAACATGCAGAGTGAAGAAAAGGATGTGAGGGTGTATTCTGTGTTTAAAAGGACAGGGGTAGGACTAGATGTTCACCTTAAATCCAGCCACTGCTCCAGACTGCAAATCAGATTCGATATTTCCTGGATCCAGGTAGGCAATGCTCATAAGAAAGCCCGGTCCAGTGAAAGCCCAGAGTTTCCGAAAGCTAAAACAAGAGTACTATACAAGAGAGGAAAAGAGATTAAACTGATTATCATCATCAAACTACTGATCTAATTGAACTGTTATCACATATGAAGCAACAATACCAGCTTCACAAGAAAAAAGGATTTACAATGTCAGATATTGCATGTGTCCAAGTTTCACTTCCATCTTATCCACTTTTTATTAAGAAGCTGGCCACTTCTCTGTCCAAGTCAGAGCCCTACCCTAACCTGCTTGTTCCATCAGCCTCTTATTCTAAAACCAGAATAGCCGGGTGAGGTGGCCCATGCCTGTAATCCTAGCACTTTGGGAGGCCAAGGCAGGCAAATCATGAGGTCAGGAGATCAAGATCATCCTGGCCAACATGGTGAAACCCTGTCTCTACTAAAAATACAAAAATTAGCTGGGTGTGGTGGCGCATGCCTGTAATCCTAGCTACTCAGGAGGCTGAGGCAGAAGAATCACTTGAACCCAGGAGGAGGATGCTGCAGTAAGCTGAGACTGAACCATTACACTCCAGCCTGGCGAGAGTTAAACTCTGTCTCAAGAAAAAGAAAAAAAAAGCCGGGCGCGGTGGCTCAAGCCTGTAATCCCAGCACTTTGGGAGGCCGAGGCGGGTGGATCACGAGGTCAACAGATCGAGACCATCCTGGTCAACATGGTGAAACCCCGTCTCTACTAAAAATACAAAAAAAAAACTAGCTGGGCGTGGTGGCGCGTGCCTGTAATCCCAGCTACTCAGGAGGCTGAGGCAGGAGAATTGCCTGAGCCCAGAAGGCGGAGGTTGCGGTGAGCCGAGATCGCGCCATTGCACTCCAGCCTGGGTAACAAGAGCGAAACTCAAAAAAAAAAAAAAAAAAAAAGACAGAACAGTATCAGTTGCCTGGGTGCCCAGACACTTTCCAAAAAGGACAATAGTCATCATTTTAAAAAGGAAACAGACCAGATGTGGTGGTGTGTGATGTGTGCCTATAGTCCAGCTACTCAGGACACTGAGAAAAGTAAACAAAAATAAAATTCTAAGCTCCTCCAACCAACTGAATGGATCCTCTTCATGGTCAAGGGCATTCCAAGGAAACCTGAAAAACTAGTTTAGGCCTGATGGGAGGGAGAAGTCAGAGAAACCTCATTATACCCTCTTCCCTTTGGAATTCAGGCACAAATGACCAGCATTAAAACAGAGATCTTAAAACTGACAAAACAAAGTCCTTGTAGCAATAACATGCCAAATTCCAACCTGACTCTGTATAGCAGGCATCCCCAAACTTTTTACACAGGGGACCAGTTCACTGTCTCTCAGACCATTGGAGGGTCGCCACACAGTGGGGGGGGGGGTTGGGGGCCACATAAATGGCCTCAGGGGGCCGCATGGGGCCCGCAGGCCGTAGTTTGGGGACGCCTGCTATACAGCATCACATGACAGATAACAGGCCCTAAAAGAAACCCAAGTATTTTACTCCAAAATATATTTCTTTGTATATTTTGAAAAGACCCTGCAAAGCTGTCTCTTACAAGCAAAACCTAGAATCTCCTGTAAAGAATCTCCTTCCCTTTCCAGGTCTTTTCCTGATCCAGGAGAGAATTAACTAAAAGTCTGGTACCTTTTTAAGTCTGATAAAGGACATTTACAACTATTTTCTCTGAAGCTGTAGCTAATAAAAACCTTGGTCTCCACAACCCCTCATTTTAGACCAGACACTCCTTTCTATTGACTTCAGGCCTTTAGAAAATAACTCTTTCAACCAATTTTCTTTATTTATTTATTTATATTTATTTATTTATTTATTCATTTATTTATATTTTTGTACAGATGGGGTTTTGCCATGTTCCCCAGGCTGGTCTCAAACTCCTGGGCTTAAGCAATCCTTCCCCTTCAGCCTCCAAAGTAACTGGGACCACAATTGTGCACAACCACACTCAACTAATTTTATTTTATTTTATATTTTTTAGATGGAGTTGTGCTCTTGTTACCCAGGCTGAAGTGCAATGGTGCGATCTCAGCTCACTGCAACCTCTGCCTCCTGGGTTCAAGCAATTCTCCTGCCTCAGCCTCCCAAGTAGCTGGGATTACAGGCATGCGCCACCACGCCTAGCTAATTTTGTATTTTTAGTAGAGACAGTTTCTCCATGTTGGTCAGGGTGGTCTCAAACTCCTGATTTCAGGTGATCCTCCCACCTTGGTCTCCCAAAATGCTGGGATTACAGGCATGAGACACTGTGCCCAGCTAATTATTTTTTTTTTTTAAGGGAGAGACGAGGTCTCATTATGTTGCCCAGGCCAGTTGGTCTCTAACTCATGGGTTCAAGTGATCCACCTGCCTCAGCCTCCCAAAGTGCTGGGATTACAGGCATGAGCCACTGCACCCAGGCTCAATCAATTTCCAACCAGAAAATCTTTAAAACCACCTTCGACCTGAAAGGCTCCCCCTTCCCACTTCAAGTGGTCCCATGTTTCCTAATAGAAACAATGTACATCTTACATATATTGACTGATGTCTGCCTGTAACTTCTGACCCCTAAAATGTATAAAATCAAGCTGTAACCCCACCACCTTGGGCGCATGTTCTCAGGACTTCCTGGGGCTGTATCTGGGCCTTGGTCACTCGTATTTGACCCAGAATAAACCTCTTTAAATAGTTTACAGAGTTTGACTCTTTTTTGTTTGTTTTGAGATGCAGTCTCACTGTCGCTCAGGCTGGAGTGCAGTGGTGCAATCTTGGCTCACTGCAGCTTCTGCCTCCCAGGTTCAAGTGATTCTCCTGACTCAGTTTCCCGAGTAGATGGGATTACAGGCACCAACCACTATGCCTGGCTAACTTTTGTATCTTTAGTAGAGACAGGGTTTCACCATGTTGACCAGGCTGGTCTTGAACTCCTAACCTCAGGTGATCCACCCGCCTCGGCATTCCAAAGCGCTGATATTACAGGCGTGAACGACCATGCCCAGCTTGTTTGTTTTTTGTTTTGTTTTGGTTTTTTTTTTTGAGAGGAGGTCTCACTCTGTCACCCAGAGTGGAGTGCCATGGCATGATTTTGGCTCACTGTACTTTCTGCCTCTAGGGCTCAAGTGACAATCCTCCCACCTCAACCTCCTGAGTAGCTGGGACTACAGGTGCACACCACCTGCTCAGCTAATTTTTGTAGAGACAGGGCTTCACCATGTTGACCAGGCTGGCCTTGAACTCCTGGGCTCAAGTGATCTTCCTGCCTCAGCCTCCCAAAGTGCTGGAATTACAGGTGTGAGCCACTGGGCCCAGCCAGAGTTTGACTCTTTTTCATCAACAAACAAGAAGGAAGATCGCTTGAGGCCAGGAGTTCAAGACTAGCCTGGGTAACACTGTGAGACCCTGTCACTAAAAATAAAAACAAAAATAATGAGCCTGGCATGGTGGCATGCCATCTATAGTCCCAGTTACTGGGGAGGCTGAGGTGGGAGGATCACCTGACCCCAGTAGTTTAAGGCTACAGTAAGATATGGTTATGCCACTGCACTGCCACCTAGATGACAGAGCAAGCAAAACCCTATCTGTAAAAATAGATATAGATATAGATATAGATAGGGGGTGTAGGGGTGTGTGTATGTGTGTATATATATATATGTGTGTGTACGTGTGTATGTGTGTGTGGGTGTATATATATGCACACACCCCTATCTATATGTATATCTCTATCTATATCTATATATTTACACACAGTCTTCAAAGATTGCCAGCCAAAATGAGACCTGAGGCTGCTAAGCTTGAGCCATCCAGCAGATCTTTCACTCACAGGTTTTCCCCAGACAACACTGTTCTCCTCCAAGGACCTGACACTAACCTCCTCCTCAGGAATGGAGATCTTCTCATTAAAGTAAGTGGTGAACTCATCCTCTGAGTTCCCAGAGGACTGTGGAAGAGAGGGATTACTATAGGCAGGGTTGAAGGTACCAAGACTGGCCGACTCCCCATGTTCTCCAGAAACACTGTCTGAATGAACAGATTTGAAAATAAATTAGTAAAAAATGAACAAAACATGAACAACTCATTCTTAGTATACTGAAATTAATTTTTTTTTTTTTTGAGACGGAGTTTCACTCTTGTTACCCAGGCTGGAGTGCAAGGGTGTGACCTCGGCTCACCGCAACCTCCACCTCCTGGGTTCAAGCAATGCTCCTACCTCAGCCTCCTGAGTAGCTGGGATTACAGGCACGCGCCACCATGCCCAGCTAATTTTTTGTATTTTTAGTAGAGACGCGGTTTCACCATGTTGACCAAAATGGTCTCGATCTCTTGACCTCATGATCCACCCGCCTCGGTCTCCCAAAGTACTGGGATTACAGGCTTGAGCCACCGTGCCCGGCCGAAATTAAATATTTTAATACCTAAATGCACAAGAGACCAACCTGACTTTAGCTCAATTTATTTTTTGAATAGTTTATTTTTAATCTGTATTTTAGAATAGGTAATACAGTCACATGGTTAAAAATTCAGGAAGTAAAAAATTTAGCCTACACTAAAAAGTTATCTCCCTCCCCTCCCCCAGTCACTTAGCTCTCTAGATCAGTTTTAACTCACAATGGTTTTCCTACTTCCACACGTCTACTCCTACTTGGGAATTTTTACAGCCATTTCATTTTCCTCTAAAAACACTGACATATGGGCTCAAAAAATTACATTCCCAGATCAGCCCCTGGTAACCTAAAAGTCTAACTTTTAAAAGAAAAGAACTAGGTCCATCTAGCGAAATGTCCTCCCCATCTCCTATATTTGGTAAGACTTACTCAAAGAGTTGTCCTTGGACATAGTACCTCCGTCAGACTTCTCAAAAAAAGTGCAAGTTACAAAACCCTGCCACAGTTCAGGCTACACTCTGAAGCTGCAGCAAAACCACCAAGCAGGAACCCTTTGTACCCTGACTAAGGCCTGCAATAAAGTGCCGCAGGTCACGGGGTACTGGCACCCTCATGATAGCAGGACTCATCTCAGACTGTTCAGTGTTTCCCTGAGTTCTGCATTTTATAGTCAGTCTTAAATACTGAGAAGCAGAAGGTTTGGGAGAAAAGGGGTAACCTGCCAGAAATACACAGAGCCTAGTTTACTTCAGCCATCAAATGGCTATTTTGAATCACAAAGCTCTAATCTCTGTGTTTCTAATAAATCCTTACAATCTCTAACTTAAAAAAGTTAGAGCTTTCTTTCCATAGGGAGCTGACTCACATCACCTTAATTAAGTGGCTTTGAATTAACAAAGAAATTTACAAAAAAGGAACAGAAATTCCAAAGCAGCAGCTCAGATTTAGGAAGGAATAGTCAAAGCACTCAAGAACCTCCAAGCAAATACAGAGCATAAGGTACTCGCCCTGTATTTTACAGCTCCATACACATCTGAAACACCAGGAAGCATCACGAGCAGCCAAGGCACTCCAGAGGTTTTTATGCTGGGTCAAGGAATAATAGTGCCCTTGCAATAATTACTGCCAGAAACCAAAATTCAGTTAATCTGGGCTCAACTCAGAATTGTAAAAAAGAAATGAAGCAGCCGGGTGCGGTGGCTCAAGCCTGTAATCCCAGCACTTTGGGAGGCCGAGGCGGGTGGATCACGAGGTCAAGAGATCGAGACCATCCTGGTCAACATGGTGAAACCCCGTCTCTACTAAAAATACAAAAAATTAGCTGGGCATGGTGGTGCGTGCCTGTAATCCCAGGTACTCAGGAGGCTGAGGCAGGAGAATTGCCTGAACCCAGGAGGCGGAGGTTGCGGTGAGCCGAGATGGCGCCATTGCACTCCAGCCTGGGTAACAAGAGCGAAACTCCGTCTCAAAAAAAAAAAAAAAAAAAAAAAAAAAGAAATGAAGCAGGTCTCTGGTTAAAATATCTGTTTTCAGGCTGGGTGCGGGAGCTCACACTTTAATTCCAGCACTTTGGGAGGCTAAGGCAGGCAGATCACTTGAGGTCAGGTGTTCGAGAACAGGCTGGCCAACATAGTGAAATGCTGACTGTACTAAAAATACAAAAATTAGCCAGGTGGTGTGGCACGTGTCTTTAGTCCCAGCTACTTGGGAGGCTGAGGCAGGAGAATCACTTGAACCCAAGAGTGGAGGTTGCAGTGAGTTGCACCACTGCAGTCCAACCTGGGTGACAGAGCGAGACTACACCTGAAAAAAAAAAAAAAAATTTCATTTACAGCCTAAGTCACCAGATGGTGGCTTTTGAATGGGGTTGTTAGAATATGCATATGGAACAGGAAAGTATGATAAATTTCTGTTACCAACATAAAGCCTAATTACAAATAAAATTAGACAATAACACAAAGCTGTAAGTTACCATCTGACATCTTCTGTTCAGGACCCAATACCATGGTGGATAGCTGAGTGCCTGAGTTCTTAGAATAGGATGCTGGAAAGGAGAAAAGGGAGGGACAGGAATTAGCAAAAACAAACTAACAGGTTCAGAACCAGCATTTTGTTACTCTGTATGACTGAATCCTTACTATGAAAAGAGTTAATTCTTCTACTGAATTAGATAACCTTGAAAATAATTACAGTTTTCAGAATACAACTAACAGCTATTTAACAAAAATAGAAAAGTCTTAGTCAAGATTTTGCTGGCAAGACTTCAAAACTAAATTGAAGTGTTACAGCTCTTTTAGAAAGTGTCTAGCAGGCATACTGGTTTTCACTTTGAAACCCTTCAGGGTGGTGGTGGGGGGGTGGACAAACTGAACAAGAGGTATTTTAGTGAGTCAGCAAATACTTTTTTACGATTTTTTTTTTTTTTTTTTTTTTTTGTCTTTTTGTTTTTTTCCTTTTTGTGGAGAACGGGGTCTCGCTATGTTGCCCAGGCAGGTCTCGAACTCCTGGGCTCAAGCTATCCTCCCGCCTCTGCCTCCCTAAGAGCTGGGATTACAGGCGTGAGCCACAGCGCCCAGCCAGCAAATACTTTTTTAACAAGCATCTACAGAAAGGCTGTTAGGCAAGTATCCTGTCTCTGCCTTTGACTCCAGATTATTTGAAGTGTCTGAAGCCGGACACATTTCTCCCAGTTTTATGAGTTTTGATTTTTTTGTCTGTTTTGAGATGGAGTCTCACTCTGTTGCCCAGGCTGGAGTGCAGTGGCACGATCTCAGCTCACTGTAATCTCTGCCTCCCGGGTTCAAGCAATTCTCCTGCCTCAGCCTCCTGAGTAGCTGGGACTACCTGGCGAATGCCACGATGCCCAGCTAATGTTTATATTTTTAGTAGAGACAGGGTTTACCACGTTGGCCAGGTTGGTCTCGAAGTCCTGACCTCATGATCCACCTGCCTAGGCCTCCCAAAGTGCTGGGATTACAGGTGTGAGCCACCACCCCCAGCGTATTTTATGAGTTTTTAAGAACAGAGATCTGTAATTCTCTTTGGTCTAAAATACGCAATTTAAGCTCATGGTTCAATCTTCTGGAAAGAATGGGGAAAAGCACCATACAAGCATACCAGTGGTGGAGTGCCACTATTTGGCAGCCTCAAATTTTCCTGAGGAAGTAAAGTCTACAGCTATAATGTTCCAGACCTCATTACTCAACCCTCTGACACCTAGAAGAAACTAGTCGCCTGTGGCCAAGACCCTCCCAAGCTCTCCAAGAGGGCTGAAGCACCAGCAGGATTAAGCACAGTGTGCAGGACACCAGCATTTGTCTGTAGGTCCAGTACTAAGCAACCTGCAGTGGGGTGGCTGAGGTTGGGGGATTTGGGGGAGGTTCCAGGTGTCCATTAGCCTTTTAAGTTTAATTGGGGGAAGGATGTTAGCAAGCTCATTTGGGAACAGATCTATGGTATATTCTCCAGTCAGCCTCACCAATAAGGTTATTATTATTATTTTTTTTTTGAGACGGAGTTTCGCTCTTGTTACCCAGGCTGGAGTGCAATGGCGTGATCTCGGCTCACCGCAACCTCCGCCTCCTGGGTTCAGGCAATTCTCCTGCCTCAGCCTCCTGAGTAGCTGGGATTACAGGCACGCGCCACCACGCCCAGCTAGTTTTTTGTATTTTTAGTAGAGACGGGGTTTCACCATGTTGACCAGGATGGTCTCGATCTCTCGACCTCGTGATCCACCCATCTTGGCCTCCCAAAGTGCTGGGATTACAGGCTTGAGCCACCGCACCCGGCCAATAAGGTTATTTTTTAAAAAACATTTCAGGACCAGGTACAGTGGCTCATGCCTGTAATCCCAGCACTTTGGGAGGCAGAAGCAAGCAGATCGCCTGAGGTTGGGAGTTCGAGACTAGCCTGGCCAGCATGGTGAAACCCCATCTCTACTATAAAAATAAAAAAATTGGCCGGGCGCGGTGGCTCAAGCCTGTAATCCCAGCACTTTGGGAGGCCGAGGCGGGTGGAACACAAGGTCGAGAGATCGAGACCATCCTGGTCAACATGGTGAAACCCCGTCTCTACTAAAAATACCAAAAAAAATTACCTGGGCATGGTGGCGTGTGCCTGTAATCCCAGCTACTCAGGAGGCTGAGGCAGGAGAATTGCCTGAGCCCAGGAGGCGGACGTTGCAGTGAGCCGAGATCGCGCCATTGCACTCCAGCCTGGGTAACAAGAGCGAAACTCCGTCTCAAAAAAATAAATAAATAAAATAAATAAAAAAATTAGCTGGGTATGGTGGCAGGTACCTATAATCCCAGCTACTCAGGAAGGTGAGGCAGGAGAACTGCTTGAACCCAGGAGGTGGAAGTTGTAGTGAGCCGAGATTGCATGCGCGTACCCGTCACTGCACTCCAGCCTGGGCAACAGAGGGAGACTCCGTCTCAAAAAAAAAAAAAAAATTCAATTTACTTATTATCTACTTCTCAGTTGATTTCAAATTTAGAAGGGGGAGGACAACATACTATTTGTTGATAAGCCCCTCCTTAAATCCCAGTAATAACTGTCCTATTGAAGAAGTGATGAAGCCTCGCTTAATCTTTTACTGCTTAAATCTACTCTTTTTTGCACCCTTGTCCCTTACATGTCATTCCTATCTGAACAATCTTCTACTTTCCTTATCAGGTTTTGCATAATCTTTGTATCTACCAACATATTCTGTATTTATAAAAGTATGGAATTCAGGCCGAGCACAGCGGCTCACGCTATAATTCCAGCACTTTGGGAAGCCAAGGCAGGCAGATCATAAGGTCAGGAATTTGAGACTAGCCAGGCCAATATGGTGAAACCTCGTCCCTAATTTTAAAGAACACAAAAATTAGCCTAGGCGTGGTGGCACACACCTGTAGTCCCAGGTACTTGGGAGGCTGAGGCAGAAGAATCACTTGAACCTGGGAGGCAGGGGTTGCAGTGAACCGAGATCGTGCTACTGCACTCCAGCCTGAGTGACAGAGCAAGATTTTGTCTCAAAAAAAAAAAAAGAAAGAAAGAAAGAAAGAAAGAAAGAAATACAGAATTCAGACCAGAAAGGAGCTTTTCTTTTCTTTTTAGGTTTCATCTGTCTTCTGGAGCATATATACCACCACCCGCTAATTTGTAAAACATAATCCTTTCTCTCTCTAGTCACTAATGCCAAGTACTACATTACAACGAACAACTAGCCATGTCTCTCCTGTCAGACAGGAGCCACCAGATGACTAAACATCAGCCAACAGATCCCAATAATACTGACTAAAGTCAACCCCTCTCTCAGTCAATTACAACAGTACCTCACCTAAATGGGATTTAAATATTTGACCACTCAGAATAGCAGTACTCACGTGGATTTCAATCACATCACAGCCCCTTAGTTCTCAACAAAGCCTTGTTACTTTTGTTTTACATCTAATTCTAATAAGCCAATGTTATCAGGTTCTCTTAACCCACAGTAAATTGGAAACCACAAGTCAGATGTGGAACTATACATGGCTCTTCCAGGAAAAGAGGAACTTGGCACATTGAGGAATCAAAAAATTCAAGAAGTACAAATTAAATTGCTTTTTTTTTTTTTTTGAGACAGAGTTTCACTCTTGTCACCTAGGCTGGAGTGTAAGGGTGCAATTTCAGCTCACCACAAACTCCACTTCTGCCTCAGCCTCCCAAGTAGCTGGGACTACAGGTGTGCATCACCACGCCCAGCTAATATTTGTATTTTTAGTACAGATGCGGTTTCACCATATTGGCCAGGCTGGTTTCAAACTCCTGAGCTCGTGATCTGCCCACCTCCCTCCCAAAGTGCTGGGATTACATTTAACCATGAGTGCCATCAAATACAAAAAGTTTGTTCTTCTCTCTGAAATCTCAAGAATGAATTATTTCAAGAAAGAAAACAAATTCTAAATTCTAGTCTTCTCATCAAAGCTGCGCTCCAGCCTGGGTGACAACAGCAGAAAAAAAAAAAAAAAGTAGCCGGGCGCGGTGGCTCAAGCCTGTAATCCCAGCACTTTGGGAGGCCGAGGCGGATGGATCACGAGGTCAAGAGATCGAGACCATCCTGGTCAACATGGTGAAACCCCGTCTCTACTAAAAATACAAAAAATTAGCTGGGCATGGTGGCGCGTGCCTGTAATCCCAGCTACTCAGGAGGCTGAGGCAGGAGAATTGCCTGAACCCAGGAGGCGGAGGTTGCGGTGAGCCGAGATCGCGCCATTATACTCCAGCCTGGGTAACAAGAGCGAAACTCTGTCTCAAACAAACAAACAAAAAAATTAGACGGGTGTGGTGGTGGGCATCTGTAGTACTGGGAGGCCAAGGTGGAAGGATCATCTAAGCTGGGGAAGTGAAGGCTGCAGTGAGTGGTGATTGGGCCACTGCATTCCAGCCTGGGTGACAAGGCAAGACCCTGTCTCAAAAAAAAAAAAAATGTTGTAAGACTGTCTTACAAGATAAAAATGCTAACAAAATTTTATTTTCTGTCTAAAATTTCAAAAGTCTAACATGTTCTTTGATCCAGCAATTTTACTCCTAAAAATGTATTTTTTTAAAAAAAAAAAGCAAAAAAAACTCAGACAAGGAAACATGTACAATGATATTTCCCACAGCATTATTTGTAGTATCAAAAGACTATAAACAACCTGGCTATTAGAAGAGGACTGATTGAATAAACTGTGCACATTCATTGGACAGAATACAATTCAGCCACTATAAATAAGATGACCTATCATGTATTGACAGGAAACAATCTTGAAAATATTATATTTTGTCAAGCCAAAAAAAAAATTTGTTGAGCAGTATGCTATCATTTATGTAGCAAAAAGAAAAAAGGGAAAACACACACGTACACATACAATCTCCAAAGGACACACAGAAAACTGATAATAAAGGCCATCCCTGTGAGAAGGAAGGAGTAGGAGAGCCCAAATGAGGTCATGTGAAAGGAAAACCTCTCACTGAATATACACCGTATACCTTTTGCACTTAAAAAAAGATTCACCAGGTACATGTATTATTTGCCTT